AGCCTAGGCTATTCGTGCTAGTTTAGAGTTATATTAGGCTATTAATTTCTTAACTCTAACGGTCGGGCTCGACAGTAGGGGGATATCCGGGTTTGACTATATAGGGGTGGCCTTATTTCTGCGGTATTACTTAAGCAGGTTAGCCTTTTATTCCTTTAGCGGCTTTATTTTTATAGTAAAATAAGGGATATAATAGTAGAGGGATATAACTAGACTAATGTAGTATTCTAGACTTTTTAAGGTCTTAGGGAATTCGATAATTTAAATTACCTTAATCTTCTCCTCGGAGGTGGATAGGCTCTAAGCGTTAACTATCTTACTAAGCACGATAGCTAAAGGTATTCCTATAAAGGATTTCTTTAGTCCGATAGAGATATTATACTTCCTAAAGAGTTTAAAGACTTCCTATAAATAGCGAAGGTGCTCCTTTAGTATATAACTGGTAATAACGATATTGTCATAGTATGTGACGGCTTATATTCTAAGCAGTAAATTATCTATTATATATTATACGTACGCGTTTAAGTTTTTAAATCCTATAAAGGGGTATTTAAAGGTGAACTATCTATTCGGGGTGGAAATAGTGAACGGCTAGCGGTAGTCGGGGTAAACCTGCTATTAGTAGTAGAAGCTAATAGTATCTAAAACTATAATATATTTTTTCCCGGAAACGTGTTAGAGTATTTTATCCTGTATGTGTATAGGATATATATCAGGCATTATAGCATCGTTTAGAGGCCTAACGTTAACAACTATTCGGCCCTTACGTTTTCTGTTTTTAACGTTATAGATAACGAAGATAGGCTAAGAAAAGGGGATATCGTATATTATACGGAAAGCCTTACTATTTATAACTAGTTTCTATATTATATCCCGAATAACTATCTTATCCTCTATATTAGCCGGATATATTCGGTATCTCTTAGAGATTCGGTTATACTAGTCTAGGCGTAGCACGACTCTTATAAATAGATTCTTAGGGACTTATATAAATCCCTTATCGTGAAAAATATCTTAATATTTAGAGACGACTACGTTAAGCTGTTTCCGTCCGTTATATTTATAAATATAAACGCCGGGAAGATATATAATTATAATCTCGTCCAAATTATCGGAGTCGCGTATAACACGATTAGGCCAAGTATACTTTAGTCGGTCGAAGGATATAGGCTTCCGGCCTACCGACTCTTCGCCGGGAGTAAGGCTAAGATTCTACGCGTCTGCCGTCTAAGCGGTATATCCTGCCTCGATAAAAGTTATATATCCGAGGTATATACCTAGAAGGATAACTATCTCTATTTCGACTTAGTTATAAAGTGGAATACTAGCTAGATTTACGTTATAGAGAAGTGTATACGTAACCACTATATTATAGGCCTAAATTAGTTTAAAGATATAATCCTAGTCCCCGGGTGCCGCATAGGAGACTATAACTATCGCTATGGAGCGAGGGCCTAATATAATATAGTTAGATATAATTACTTTAATTCTATACCGCTAGGATCTGCTTTAGTAGTTTATTAGAATATAAACCTAGCAGCTCTTAATATAGGTGGTTCTAGTACTATTATAGATATTAAATTACTCCGGGGCTATATAGTCTATACCTAGCAGGATATTTGCCCTAAGGTTATCGATTACCGATACCTCTCGAGTAAACGCGGCGATAGCTAGACGGCCGTTATAATATCCTTTAAATTAGAAAGGGAGAAGAACGTATTCTTTTATAGAATATATATTATCGCTAAAGCCACGTACTATAAGGGGAGTAGCTCTAATTCTAATATTAGCGGTTAGATACTATTAACGTAGGAATTTACGGTTAATTAGCGTGACGGAGCACCTAGTATCGGTATATATTTCGACTTCCTTATCTATACGAGCGTCGGGGAGAATCTTATATTTAAGATAGGAATATAAACGGAATCCGTATTCTATTCCGATATCTATTAATATATCTACTATAGATTGCCGTATATCTACTAGTATATCCGGTGTTATATCTAGGATAGTAGTTAGGGGTCCTATTACTATAGACTCCGTTATCTACGCGACCGTAACCGTTTTCTGATAAGTAGAGCGGATATAGTAGTGTAGTTTATTATTATTTATAAATTACTAACTATATTAGTAGTAAGTTCGATAAATAGCTAATCTCGGGGTAGGAGTTATCGTTATAGCGACGTGGTAGTTATACGCTTAAGTGTTATCACTCTATCTATCCGACTTAAGCTAATTATTATTAGCCTATTCTAGGTATTTATCGTTAAACGATTACCTATAGTATACTTCTTCTAATTCGCCGTGATTTAGGTTATTATTATTAGGGTAGTAGAACGTGTTTTTATCTTCCTAATCTAGGTTATTATAATAAGCCCGTATAGCCTTAGATTATTAGTTAGGCTAGGTTAGTCGTTTAGGGTTAGAGGTTCGGCGGTCGCCGGATACGTATTTTTTCGGATCTAGTTATTTCTAGTCTGGTTTCTATAGACGGGAGGGTCTGGCCTTATTATCGGTGTTACGGGAATACTTATTACTAAAATTCCCGCGTTATTATAACAATAGAAAGTTTTTATTATATAAGCCTTAGCCTCTATACTAGCCTAATAGTATAATACTATTCCTTAGGTAGCCTTAGTTATCGGGTGTCCGATTATTATATAGACGGTTATTAGGTTAATCGCTCCGAGATTAGTAATTTATCTTAACGGGAGGAGGGTTAATAAGTGCCCTAAGTATGGTATCTTTATAGTGAATATAATCTATCTATTCGGTATAGGATATAGAAGTCCTAGGTTAATCGATAATTTTCTTAACTTCGCGGTCGAATATATTCTAAATAAAAATAACTCTACCCTCTTCGGCAATAAAGGTAGATTTAGCCTCTCGAATTATATATTAAACGTAATCTTTAATCGACTTACTAGCGGCGAGATCTTTTAGGCCGAATCTGCCCGCAAGCTATCGGGTAGCTAACACGTTAACTAGCGTTTTAAATTTCTTAATTAATTTTAAGTAAACGCCGTGGATAGGGCCGTCCCGTATAAGATCCCTATTAGCCTCGTTAAGGGTGCGTGTGTACTATATAAGTGCCCGTCCGGAGAGGTATATAGTCTATACACGCCGAACTTAGTTATTCTAAGTCCTGGCTAAGTCCTTAAGCCGATCGGTACAGGCGTATATATCGGCATAGACTATCGATTTCCTATCGTTAATAATGCCTTATTATATAGGATCCTTAGTATCTAGATTAAATATACTAATATCTATACGGCGTAATATAGCGTTAAATAGGAAGTTATAATTTTAGGGATTATTAGAGGAATATATTTAGCCTTATAGGGGAGGACCGCCTATAGTTATACTAATGGGTGGCTAGACTTATCCTTAAGGTGGACTAGTAGTTATACTTATAGGTATGCTTTACTAGCCTTAGGTAGTGGTAATTTATTCTTACCGACGGCGGTTTATATCCTCTTATTCACGTCGTTAATAAGCTTTATCCTTAAGTCTCCGTACGGTCTACTCTATTAGGGCTATTACTTATTAGATAAGCCGTAATATACGAGTATCGAAGTCTTCGGTATCGCCGCCGGATTAATTATAGGCGGATATAGCTTATCCTTATTTCATTATTAACGCTATAGATAGGGAGTCTAGCAGGGGTAGAAGATCGATACCGGCTACAAGCTGGTTATTTTCTATGGAATATCGGATTAATAGGGGGGGTAAAGGCGGTAACGGTAATAAAGTTAATCCTAAAGGTGCTTTTAGGCGAACGATAGCTAGCGGATAAATCTTCGTCTTACTAATCTAGTCCCTTAGCGTGGAGACTTATACTGAATTAAGGCTTATTAAGATATCGTCTATTAATAAGGGAGATATTAGGTATTAGGAGAGATTACCGGATTAGGATATAACGTGTTCTTATACGTTAATAGGGTTATAGTTAACCTGCTACGGGGTATTACCGGATTAGGAAGGTTAACCTAGGGTTAGATTATATAATAAGCCGGGTATATTCTATAATTAGCTTATAGTAAAATCGTATACGTTATAGAACTTAACTGCCCTCCGGCAGAAAGCGCGAAATACTATATGTAGTGGGGAGGCTTATTATAACTATTCGAGTGGATATAGATCCTCTCGCTCGGCTAAGGTTAGGTCGGATACTTAGTAGAAATATAGAACCTTATATAGAATTTAGATATCTTATAAGAGTATCTTATCGTGGAATTTATCTTTAGCGTTAGAGTAACGAAGTAGTTATCTGGCTTTAACAAGGGATTTCGGCGATACTATTAAGATAATAACGTGGTGGGAGGGGTCTTACGTTAGTTATCTAGATATACCGCGCTAGCGTGCGCGCGGATCTTATCTAGTACGGCGGAAAAGCTAGTTAAAAAGAAATACGGGCTTTCTCCTTAGTATCGAATAACAGAAAATCCAGTTACTACCACCTATAAGAATAGTATAGGACTAGTAGTATAAATGGTGCGATCAAGATATAGTGTAAACTATAGATATATAGGAGAACCCTCTAAGTGGCTATCTAGAACGTGTGCTATCCCGATATAGTGTGGCTGGTGGTCACATGACCACGTCGGTGTGGCTCTCGCCACAGAAGTCCCCGAGGTCGACGACTGATTTCCATTCCCGGTTAGTGACCTTTAAGATAAGTCCCCAACCCCTATCCTGACGGTACCATCCACTACCTAGGTAGGTAATTAGACTCTCTGAGTACCTTGCGGAGTTTGGTGCACGACAGAGTGTATTTAGTACTTTTGGTGTTGTACACGGGTTTAGTGGATGCTCGTTTTCGTCATGGTGCCCTCTCGTCGGTTGGTTACGTGCCTTATCTACTTCGTGCTCCGTACCTTACTCGGCGTACTCAGTACCTTAAGGTACGTACCTAAGGCAAGGTACCTTATTAATAATAACGTCGTCATTTTTACTTTCTTTATTGATTATTTAATTATTTGTTCTCCATCACCCAAACCCCGAATCCCACGAGGCTGCCTCAAAGACTCGCGTACATCTGGGCACCTTTATTCTTCACCATTTGATTCTACAATAGAAGGCATATGACATATGGTTGACCGTCGCGTTCCCTCTTATTTTTATTATTTTCCCATCGCTTCCGAACACCCCGAGATGCGCCATATGCGACAGATGACCACCACCACCGCCTCCTCCTCGTCCCTCGTTGACCGCTCCCATCAAGAAGAGTACGAACACGGCCGTCTTCATCTACCTTTGTCGTAAGAGGCGTGTCCGTCGCCGAGGCCTGTCTTCGACCTAGGTACTCCGACCTACCTACCTAACCCTACCACCGAATCAGCCACCGAATTACCCACCCCGACCTGCCACTTCCGACGACCTCCTCCTCCTTTTCCTCCCCCCCCCCCCCCCCCCCCCCCCCCCCCCCCCCCCCCCCCCCCCAACCACACCCCCGTCTCCTCCCGCCATGCTCCTCCTCCACCAAATAGGCACCGTCAAGGTAGGCGAGGTGGTCCGCTACACCGTCACCTACGCGCCGTCACAAGACCGCATCCTCCCCTCCCCCGAGAAGCTCCACCTCCGGATCCGCAACACCTCCGCCCTCGCCCTCCGTGCCGCCTTCGTCCACGGTCCCTATAACCTCTGCGTCGCCGCCTACCCGGCCAACTACAACCCGAACGCCAAGTTCACCGCCGCCCGTCGCTATGGCATCCCCGAGTTCGAGCCCATGGTCAAGGCCGGCGGCTCCTGGCAGTGCGAGCTCCTCGTGCCCGAACACATCCGCCAGTCCGCCGGCATCGGCGTCGGTCCGCATGGCCTGTCCTTTGGGTCCTCCACCGCCAACACCACCGCCAACACCAACACCACCACCAACACCACCACCACCACAACCTCGTCGGTGGGTGGTCACACCGAGGAGACTGCCGTCTCTTGGATCATAGAGGTTTCTTCCCAGGTCATCTTCTCCGCCTCCGCCGCCGTCGGCTACGAGATCGTCCTTGCCCGTGACGAGAAGTCCCTGAATCTGAGCTCCTCTCTGCCCGTCATCGGGGGGCATGCTCAGATCCCACAACCGGGGAAGGTCAGCGACCACCAGCAGCGGCAGCGGCAGCAGCGGCAGCAGCAGCAGCAGCAGCAACACCCCGGGGCTAGGGGCGTCTTCTCCCGCGCCATCCGTGTCAGGGTCGAGGATACCGCTGCCCTGTGGAATACCCCGAGGTTACCGGGATGGGATTCCGGCGTGAAGTACGCGGAGAGCAGCAAGGGGGGGGAGACTGCCGGGTCCTCCGGTTCGGGAGAGACGCCCACCCGGAATAAGAACAAAGACAAAAAGCGGAAGAAGGTCCACTTGGTCGTCCTCACCCACGGCTTGCACAGCAACCTCGGCGCCGATATGCTGTACCTTAAGGAGACCATCGATGCGACCGTACGTCAGGCCAAGATTGACGCCAAGGCGAGGCGGGCTAGAGAAAGAGCCGCTGCCAAGGCGGGCGGACACGGACACGGACACGGACACGGACACGGACACGGACACGGACATGCGGCCAAGACGACGACTTTGAAGAAGAGTCAAGACGAAGATGTCAGCGAAAAGGCAGCATCATCACCACCCGACGAGAACCAGGGTGGAAGGGGAGATGGAGAACCAGAACCAGAACCAGAACCGAAACCAGATGCAGAGGAAGACGAGGACGAAGATGAGGATGAGGAGGTCATCGTCCGTGGATTCTCTGGCAATGCGACACGGACCGAGAGGGGAATCAAGTTTCTGGGCAAGAGACTCGCGAGATATGTGCTGTCAACCTGCTATCCCGACCAACCCTTTCTTCCTTCTTCCAAGGGCGCCAACGAGGCCGCTGCCGCTGCCACTTCTGCTGCTGCTGCTGCCACTTCTTCTGCTTCTGCTTCTGCTTCTGCCTCTGCTGTCAAGGCCAAGACACCCGGCACCAAGGGCCATCCCAACCCCAACCCCAATTCAATGCATAGGCAGAGCACAATCCACCACAACGCCGGTTCCGAGCCCCATCGTCCTTACCAGATCACCAGCATCAGCTTCGTCGGTCACTCCCTGGGCGGCCTGGTCCAGACCTACGCCGTCGCCTACATCCAGAAACACTCGCCCACCTTCTTCGACCTCATCAGGCCCGTCAACTTCATCGCCCTCGCCACCCCGTTCCTCGGCCTGAGCAACGAGAACCCCCTCTACATCAAGTTCGCCCTCGATTTTGGTCTGGTCGGCCGCACCGGACAGGACCTGGGCCTGACCTGGCGGGCCCCCACCATCGCCAGGAGCGGATGGGGCGCCCTCGTCAGCAACCTCAGCGAGTCCGCCCACAAGAGGGTCATGGGCGAGAGCCGCCCCGAGTCGAAGCCCCTGCTGCGCATCCTGCCCACCGGCCCCGCCCACACCGCCCTGAAGAAGTTCCGCAACCGGACCGTCTACTCCAACGTCGTCAACGACGGCATCGTGCCCCTCCGCACCAGCTGCCTGCTCTTCCTCGACTGGCAGGGCCTCGGCCGCGTCGAGAAGGCCCGGAGGGATGCCGGCCTTGTCGAGACCCTGGTCGGCATCGGCTGGGCCGAGTTGACCGGCGCCAATGCTACTGCTGCGAGGCGCGAGGCGAGGAAGCTGCAACAGCTGCCACCCGACTACTACGACGACGACGAGGAGGATGGTGATGCTCATGGTGATGGTCATGATGGGGGCAACGACTCGGCCGGAACCGCGACCCCTATGCCTACCGCTCCGAAGAATGCCTCCGAGGTCCCGCAGCCGTCGCAGAACGCCATCATCGAGGATGACAGGGCCAGCGTCCGCTCCGTCCCTACTACTACTACTGCGCCCACTACTACTACTACTAGCAGTAGTAGTAGTACGACCTTCGCCAAAGACGGGTCTGTCCCCGCGGCTCCCGGCAGCACTGCCGAGACCACCAACTCGGGGCCGCTCGCCGGCTTTCTGTCCTTCTTCAGGGGAAACGGTAACGGCAACGGCAACGGCAACGGCAATGGCAATGGCAACGGTAACGGCAACGGCAATGGCAACGGCAACGGCAACGGCAACGGCAACGGCAACGGCTCGGCAACCCCTCCGACAAACGCCCATTCTACTAAGCAGCATAAGATCCTGCGGAGAAGCCAGACGATCAAATCAGACGACAGCGGCAACTTGTCGATGACCTCGCCGTCGGCCTCAGCTATCGTCTCCAGGGTGACGACTGGCCAGGAGTACGAGCTGGACACGGAGAGCCTGAACGCCCCGCCCCGAACCACCGTTTTCGAGTCGGCCCACGATCTGATCAACCCGACACTGCCCTCCACCGAATTCCTCATCGATCCCTCCAAACGGCCCAGGGCCATCTTCCACGACAGGGTCTACCACCCTGCCGACATTCCACCCCCTCCCATGAAGCCCAGGTCGACTCCCTCTGCGAGTTTTGGTGTTCGTAGGAGGGCTACGGGGCTGTCCACCTCCAGCACCGAGACGAAGGACCAGGCCCCGGGCGCGTCATCCTCCACTAACAACACTACCGCTAACACCAATGCTAACGCTGCTGCTGCTGATGCTGATGCTGCCGCTAATGCCACCGCTACCACTGCCGTCATCTCTTCGTCCTCGCCTCGCCCGAGTCAGAAACTCCAACGCCAGGATTCCATGCCTTCTAACAAGGACAACAACAACAACGACAACGACGATGCCGCCGCCCAGGAGGTCGACGGGTCGCAGATGCGCGTCGAGGAGAAGATCGCCCGCGCCTACCACCGCGACATCTCCTGGCGCAAAGTCCTCGTCAAGCTGGAGCCCGACGCCCACAACAACATCATCGTCCGCCGCATGTTCGCCAACGCCTTCGGCTGGCCCGTCGTGAAACACCTCGTCGACGCCCACTTTAGCGATTCCGCCAACGCGAGGGCCCGCGTCGACGACATGGAGGGGAAGGAACGCGCCCTGGATATCGGGCAGCCGCCGACCTTGGAGGGGAGTGAGCTGAAACGCGAGAATGGCGAGAATGGCTCGGTTTCACGTGCCGAGACCGTCCCGCAGCGGACGGCGCGGCATCAGGCTGAGAAGGCGGACGTGGATGGCGCCAAGGATCTTGTGCAGGACGAGACCGAACCGCCAAAAGAACAAGAGCAGCAAGAACAAGAACAACAACAACAACAACAACAACAACAACACCACCACCAGAGATCCGGGAATCTGGCACGCGAAGCGGAGGATAGGGTCTCCGAGCTACCCACCATGTCCTCCCGAAACGAACCCGGGACCCCCCCGCGACCGTTCTTGCCTCCACCCGTCACGAGGGCGGACTCCATGACATGGAGCGAAGGCGACTGGATCGACTCGGACGAGAGCGACACCGAGACCGAAAACCACGGCGCCGGCGCCGGCGGCCGCCGCGCGCCGCTGAGTCCACCGCCACCACCCCGCACGCCGGATACTTCGAGGCCGACCACGACGGTAACCTCAACCTCAACCTCAACAACAGCCAGAGACAAGGACAAGGCCGCGGCGGCGCAGAATCAGTCCCTGTCCCCCCTCCCGCCACCACCACCACCGGGTCGGCGGGGGGCAGACGTCCCAACAACGACGACACCGAGCCTCCCCAGCCCGCTGCTCGGCGTCGGGTCGGGGTGGAACTGGGCCGAGAAGATTGTCGGCCGCGGCGCTTCTTCTTCCGCTCGGTCGTCTTCTCCTGCCCCTTCTACTGGTACTACTGCTGCTGCTACTGCTCCGCCGCCTACTAAGGCTCTCGGCTTGGGCCTCGGCGCCGCGTCCAAGTCGCCTCCTGCACCGCCCCAGCTGGATGTGGCACCGACTTCGCCGTCGTCCTCGGGTGGCGATGGTGGTGTTGAGGGGGCTGGTAAGCAGAGATAGGAAGCGTTGTGAAAGCGAGGGGAACCAGTCTTGTCAGTCATTAGCTCTGCCTCTTCCTCTTCTTTTTTCTTCTTCTTATTCTTCTTTCTCTTTCACTTTGTGTTTGTTGTTGTTTTCTTGCAAAAGGATGGGCAGATGCATGGATGGTGTTTCGGTGTACTCCATCACCCCATTATCCGCGAAACATGACAACAGTAAAGGCTAGGAAACTTCAGTCCTTACAGGCAAAAGGCGTTTTTGATTGCAACAAGTCAACAAATAAGAAGATGGAAGATAGAACAGCAACTGCAAGCGAAACAGTCGAAATATCATCTTTTACATACTATAATAATACCATCTGTACACCTTTCCAAATCAGTAACGTGAGGAAGCACATGTGGTAGAATTTCGTCGACTCGTAAGTTGTTCTAACAGACAGGACAGCCTGGTTGAGGACACAGCGATGGTGGGAAAGACGACACCAGAGAGACGTGACAAACATAGGTAGTGGTTTTGAAAGTGCCTCTCTATTGTTCCATGCGGAACTATGTGCAAACGGCGGGCAATACACAAACATTTGGCAGACCTTCCCCCTTTATTCCGAAGAACCTCCCCGAACCCGAGGTCCCTCTCAACTTGCCCATGGGGAGAAAGCGGGCAGCCGGTTACTTCGAAGGCCCACGAGATCGGTCCTTCACTATCCTTGTTGTATTGTACACTTCGAACTGCCTCGGTCGTGTCCATTCAGGGGAACGCCATGCCACACCCTTTTCGTTCCTTTTCATAAGACTCTCTCCCTGTCTTGTGGTCTCTTCGTCCCACCATCCCCGGGAACCATGTCCCCTTCACCACAGTCCATCCAGCACACCTCTCCTCGCTCTCAAATATGCAGACATTAAACCGAGGGGTGAACGAACAACTCGATGCCCGGACGCGTCGCCAGAAAGGTATGAAGCAAAGGTGCGGAGCGGCGAAGGTCCTTTGATGAGGGCATCGGAAATTGATCGGCACCCCAAAACGGGAAATAGGAAGGCGATGGTCCAGGCGACGGGGATCCGACCCTCGTGCCCAAATCGACGGAACAACAGAAAATGCCAATGCCAAATAGATAAAGAAAAAGAAGAAAAATAAATCCGTGTAGACGGTCTCTAAATGTCATCGGATAGATCGTTCGGAAAGATTCATGCATTGATAAGCATATGTCTCTTCCACACGATATATATCCACCCGACGGGTATCGAAAATCATAAAAGTCGCTGTTGAGCGGATGAGAGAAGTTTGAAGAACATGAAAAAAAATGAAAAAAAAAAGAAATATGATGATCACTGGACAGGGGGAAGGGCGTCTAGTTCGTCAAGTCAGTTCCATCCGAGCGAGTTCTCTGCAGCCACAGGGGCCGAGATGTATGCCGTCCGTCCCGAGTTCCCGCCGCCGCTACGCCCGCTACCCCGGCTGTCACGCTGGCCGCCCGACACGCCTCCGTAGCCGGAAAAGTCACGGCTCATCAGCGCCCCGCCCATCAGAGCAGGGCTGCCCGCGCCGGTGTAGCGCATCTCGGACGAGCCGGCGATCGAGCTGGAGCGGCGGTGTGCCTGCTTCTTGCGCTTATAGCGGCGAGCAATCAGGAACATGGCCGCGCCATAGGCAGCCGCGATACCGACCGCACCAATACCAATGGCAGCAGCTGTGCCTCGCTGCATCGGCGACGCGTCCGACTCGTTGGCCGCCAAGTCGTTGGGGTCGGTGTTGTCGTCGTCCGACGAGTCATCGCCAGGAGCGGTGAGATCGATCTCGCTGCCGGGCATGATATCAATAGCAGGATTGACGTTCTGGGTCAGGTTGTACACGAGCTCAACCGGGTGGTTGTAGAAAGGCGAGTTTGGAATCTGAATATCCATGCGCAGCTGGTCGATCATGCTCTCCGGGTAGTAGAACCTGGCCAGCGTCGTGATGTATCCAAGCGACTGCATCGTGTCGTATGGCACGAGCCTGATCACCTTGACGTTCCTGCGGTCAATCTCCGCCCCATCGGCCAGGGCGATGGGCAAGTACGTGAAGATCTGCGCCGCCGCCATGGGGTTGTTGCTGACAAACTCGTAGTTCTGGGCGTACAGGAAACCAACTTGGAGAACCACGGTGCCCTCGGGCTGAGTAACATCCGAAGAGTCGTCGGGGGTGATGAGACTGGGAAGGTCGGAAGGCATCACACCAGTCGTGGTTGGGGCGCTGCCGCCTACCGAATGGGTCACAGTTGGCGTCGAGTGCTCCACAATGATGGTTGTCGGCAGCCACGATTGCGACGGAGGAAGGGTCGGCTTGGGGGGCTCGCTAGAAGCAGGCACAACCGAGGAAGGCTCCGAAACCGAGGGGACGGCAGTCGGCGGTGCGGTGGACTCAACCGGGTCGATCGATTCAGTGGGCACGACCGATCCAGTGGGCACGACCGATCCAGTGGGCAAGACCGATTCAGTGGGCACGACTGATGAATTACCTGGCAATTCGGATGACGGAGAGGACGGTTCGGGCACGGCGGACACAGTGTCGTTTCCATCGAAAACCGAGCTCGTGGGGACGGGGACGGGGATGGAAACGTCCGAAGGTGGCACAATAGAAACACCGTCGCTCGTGCTGTTGGGGGGCACCGAGGATTCCACCGGAGGCAGCGATGTCGGTTCCGCAAGGATTGACGAAGTCACTGGCGGCTCGAGCACCGGCTCGGTAGAGTTAGAAATGGGGGGAAGTTCGATAGGGGTCGAGCTCGGGACCGGGGGTAGGGTAACAATGGGAGGCTCTTCGGAAATCGTGCTCGACGGACCAGGGAGCGAGCTAGGGAGATCAAGGTCAATACTGGTCGAGATCGGGGTTTCCGACTCGGTAGCGTTCGTTGGCACGGGCGGGGCAACGATGTCTGAGATCAACGACGCGATAGGGTCAAGGGGATTGGTTCCCGACTCCTCAGGTTCAGTCGAGGCAGTAGTTGAGGCAGTAGTCAACGTCGGAGCGGCAGACTCTGACTCTTCAACTGGCGCGGTGGTCTCCTCGGCTGAAGATTCTGGGGCAGTCGATGGCGAGCTGCTAGCCTCAGAGCTCGGCGTAACGACTCCGGTGGGGGCGATCACAATGGGTGAAGAGCTCGAGTCGATCGTCGCGGTGGTAGGCACGGCTTCACTTGACTCCTCATCTGAAGACGAGGGGGAGATGACGGGTGGGAACGGGTCACTGGGGATAAGCCCGGAAGGAAGCAAATTGGTGGGAATGAGGTTGAAACCGTCGGTGGTGCTAGGAGGACTCGAGATATCTTCCTCGCCCGAAGCGTCGGGTGCCGAAGAAGGCACTTCAGACGATGTCTCGTCGTCACTGACAGATGACTCAGGGACAGACGACTCCGGGACAGACGTGGGTGGCGTCGGCGGCACCCAAATTGTGCTCGAGATGATAATGGTGGTCACGCGAGGTCCGGTGGTAGTCTCAGAACTAGCTTGCAAGGAGTCCGAGGCGCTCGAACCGCCCCGTTCGTCTTCGGAGCTCGAGGATTGCCGCACCCTGGTGATAAAGTTGGGCGTGCTCGTCGTCGAGGACATGGTCTCCTCCGGGAAGGATTCGGGGCTCGTGACTGTGGAGTTCGTGAATTGCCGTTTGACGTGCCGAGGGAAATAAATTCGAGGCCGGCCTTCGTCAGCCGCGGCAGCCGTGGCGAGGGCCAGGGCAGAGCCCAGAATCAAAGACTTCAACTGCATATTGCGCGGTTCAGGCAGTATGCGATTGGGTGCGGTGTGAACCTTGAAACGGTCGTTTGTGGTTTGCTATGGTGGAAGTCTTCCCGACTTGGTCAGCAGCCAAAGTAACGAGATGGAAACCGAGGAATTAGATGCACCCACATGTCAGGATGATTTGGAATGAATGAATGTACTTGACATCAACGTCAACGAGTGTGGTCTGGGCATGGCGAGGTTAGCGAAATCGATCAAGCGCAGCTAATGGGCGGCGCGGCATCAAGCGACCATGGGCATAGGCTGAAGAAGGGGGGCAAAGGAGGCGACAAGCGTGTTAAGGGCTGAAGAGACAAAAAGTACACCCAGGAAAAGAAACACGTCAATCGTCGTGTTCCATCCCGACGAGGGAGGGATAGCCTACACGGGCCCATCAAGCCGACGCTTCCAGACATTCCTCGACGCGTCGTGTGCCCATACCCATCCATGCGTGCTTCCGCGAGGCCAAGTCGGTGCTTCGGTGCAGCGGATAACGGAGAACAACTCACTTCTTGATACGCTGGGAACCCAGGATATCCAGTTTATGTTGTTTCAAAAAAGAGCGACTCGACGAAAATTCGTCAACAGGATAAAGGCATGTAATCTTTTCGTCTTGATCAACGTCTACCACGACGAGACCCTAGCTGCCCAGGTGCTGAAAGAACACGACCACAAAGAATAATATGGGAAGACCGTCTTCGGGGTGTTCAAGCAGACATTTGGGTCACGTAGACTGCGAGAGGTTTAGTCCAGCCGAGTGACCAGAGTCGAGAACCGGCGTTTGGCGCGAGAATCGTGACGGCCGATGGAGCAAGAGAGATCGTCGTAAAGCAGCTTCGACGTCGTCGCCTTGGGAATTATTGTCTGAGGCGGGCGAGGGAGACAAAATTCGGAGCGGTGACGAAGAGGAGGAGAGAAGATCAAAACGAGAGACAAAGGGTGGGAAAGACAGAGGGAAAGGGGGTGTGTGTGCAATAGGTACGGAGCAGGATGGGGAAGGGGGACGAAGGAATGAGTGACTGAAGGAAAGGGCAAGGGAAAGGGAGAAGGGCAGGGGCAGGGGCAGGGGCAGGGGCAGGGACAGGGACAGGGACAGGGACAGGGGAAGAGGGTGGGAAGGGGAAGGGGACGCGGACGGGGAAGGGAAGGGGAAGGGAAGGGGAAGGAGCAACGCAATTTGGGATGCGTAATACGTTGTAACCCAGAAGGGTGGTGGGGGAACTGGGCGGGGAGAAGAGACGCTCGGGTACCTTAGGCAGAGGTGGGAAGGACACACTCACTGGGGAAGGGACCACTCCCAAGAATGCTGTACTTTGTACAAATACTAAGTAATTACGCTGTATTCGTACTCAGTAATTTCAAGTACCTCTCGACTCCCAGGTAGGTAACTGAACACCGAGTACCTACCTACCCGGGTTTAGGGGGGTATAGGACAGAGCCCGATAACTGGTCAGTCTGTCAACAGTCTTAGAACATCATGTCGACAGAAATTTCTCTGTCCTGGCTCTGGTCAGAGCAAAAGTCTCTGTCCGAGCTCTGACCTATAAACCCCCCCTCCCGGGTAGGTACGCCTGTATTGCGGGTTTTGCGAGGCATCTTTCCACTGGCGATGGGGCTTTGGCACCCAAATGGAGATACGTTGTATCGCAGGCCCTGGCTGGTCCGAGGGCAATTCAGGTACAACGTGCCTAGGTACAATATATTCGTACCCATGATTCAAAGATATGCCTGCCCAAACACATGGTTGCTTGGTGAGTGGATTATTTGTGCCACCTTCATCCAACTACGATGGGCACTAATCCTGTGCGTCCCTATTATTATGCTCTTGGCATGTTGCACGTTATGTACTCGGTACAGTCATTTCACAATGTAAATTTCTTCCATTTAAATGTACTCTCTACTTGATGTAAGAGGTGGGTCGGCGGGTAATAACACAAAAAGACTTCGTACAAAGCCTAGCAGGTGCATATCCCCAACCAGCACCGCCATCAGGTCATTCATTTCCTTATTTGTGTCCCGAGTTAAGCTAGGGAGAGTTCTCATCAAGGGATGAAGGTGGAACAACAAAGGCAAAAGTCCTGCTTTTATTAGGTGGTGGGCCATGGTCCGAATCTGGTCCGAATCTGACGCTCTAGTGTCTATCTTATCCTCCCTCCTTTGGATTCTCTTCTTATGGCTATGATGAACTGCCGATCACCACGAAGGACGGGCCAACCTGTCGGTGATGATGAGAGATCAAAAAAGGGCTGAGAAAACATCCCCATTCCTACGAAGCACAAAGTATTCGTGTTTTCATGTTATCGATCACTCAATATGGAACTACTCTAGAACTATATACCTTCCCTATCAGACGGCCGGTGAGCAGGTTCTGGCCTTATTACTCAGCTATTACCTAGTGCATTCGTCCTCGTCTCCTCTCGGGCTGTGTCACGATATGAAGGCGAGAGCACTGCGTTGTTGCTGTGCTTCCTTGCATCTAAGGAGCTTCTATCCGTACGACGCACGCGGTAGACTTCGTATAAAGTAAAGTAGGTACGGAGTTGGTAGGTAACATGCAGTGGATCGCTGTTACCGGCTTATGAGATTCTCACTAAATGGCGGGAGTACCTGATCCCCGCCATAGTGGTCACTGCCTTGGAACATGCGGCCTGAGACTTCTGTCAAGCAAGTCGCGAATCACCGACTGCGCCCCTGAGGTCCAATCCTGCTAGCGTAGGGCGTTCCACATCCAGGGAATAACGGCGAGAAACGTGGGTCCCCCCGGGAAAGGAAACGTGAAGCCGCATACGTTCTTATTGGCCGAAGAGGTCGGTAAACGTGGGTCCAAGTACATTGGATGTATTGGTGTCCGTACTCCGCACCGTGTGATCGTAAGGATTAACGGTCCTTACATAGGAAGAAACGCCATGCTTCCTTATTCAGGCAAACCTCCGGTAAGGGAGGTAAGGGAAGACCATGTGGCAAGCGGTCGCAGGAGTCATCGCAAAGTTTCTCCGTCTAGAGTCAATTGATAGCTCACTTCGGAGATATCTAGCTACTGTACACGACGTGTAGCGGAAAAGAGGGTATTCCTTCGAAGCAGACAAGGCTAACTTATAGGAGTCCGGACCTAAGATACGGTATTCAGAATAAACGGAGTACACTCTAACCCCTGTTTAATTGTGTGTGGTGTACCTACGGATCCGAGTAAACCAATAGTCTCACGAGAATAAATGGGGCAAACTACAAAGAGATACATACGTTTATATATAAAATATAGGGGCTTAGATGTACTAAGTAGTATCCTGTCAAGCCACCTTGTAGCTCCCTAACAAGCAAGGTCGACGTGGTGTGTAAGTACGTACCTAGGTATTGTTAGTGGAGGTACGTTACTTGAATTTTGAAAACTTTCCTATTTAGGAAAGTTTTGAATGTACCCTTTAACACAATTAAACAGGGGTTGCATGGTACTTGCCAGGAACAAGATTAACTAAGGCAGGGCTTCCTCTTTTGACTTTTGCGCTTATTTGGGGCAGTGGTCTTGGTGGATCCCGGTTTAGAACACGCGACGAATCAACGGCTTTCACACGACCACAGAGTGGGCTCGCTAGGTATCATCGCGATGATAACCTTTGTATCGCCGCAGGGACCTCACCTGGCATACTAACACGGATCGCTTTGTAGCGATTCCCCTGACGTTCTGCGACTGCATAATAATATGTGCAGGCACAATGAACACCTAGCCTGCATAATACATTTCCGCATAAGACACGAAGCGCTTAGCCTTCCCACGAATCGACGTGGTAAGAGGACGAATACAGAACCATTTCGTTGTTTTGTCATTTGACAACGTCGCCTCTGGTTTAGACTCGGGAATTTTTTATTTATTTATTTTTCGTACACAAAAAGAGTAAGATATTGTTTTCTCAGACAACGCAAAGAACGTAAGGTGCTCTCCGTCATTCTTCTACATACTTTCAAATCGTCCGGCAGGGTTTATATTCACGGTCATAAAGGATAGAAGAAGGGAAAAGGACTGTACAACTCGACTTGAGTCCAGACTTTTCGATCAGCAATCGGGATCCGCCTCCCAACTTGCGCGTCATCTCCACGTGTTGGCGAACTGGAGCAGAACTAAAAAAGCTGGTTGAGATCACCGTCTCTGGGCTGAGCTCAAATACACGTATTGGCAAAACACTCGGCGGAAACCCACCACTTATTAATCTCTGGTTTATCCGACTCGACTTCTGCCAAACAATACCCGTGCTTCGTTCGTAGTAGGTATCCCGTTCACTGACTGACCTTTAATTGATTTCAAGCACATAAGTATCCGGACAAAGCTGGTCGCATCTCGTTCTCCTCCCCTCGCGAGCTGCTTCCACTTCGATTCTCTTTGTCCTCGTGTGTAACTCCAGGCGGTTCTTTACTGTAACACAGCATCGCCCACGGTGGATAGACGACAGTCTATTAGTAGTCCAGACTGGCTCGTCCACTGAGCCCGCGTCTGCAATGAGACCATTGCATTCCCTATCCAGCCATAGATGTGAAAGACCGTGTCCCAAACCCCGAGCTGTCACAGAGCAAGACATGCCCGCTTTGCTTGGGTGTCGGACGCTAGGGCAAAACTAATCAAAAGACTGACAAACAATGCCAAAAGGGCTGAACCCCTCCATTCCAGTGAGTGTTGTGACGACGCAAATGATCTCGTCTCGGATCATCAACAATTCCCCTGAGACTCAGGTAACTGGACTGAATTTCGACATTGAGCTTCCAAATCCAGAATCCTTTTATGAAGAAGTGCGGAGCAAAGAAGGCCAGAAAATATAAGAAACCCCCATCTTCCTGGGCAAAGACGTGACAAGTATCCGTACCTGAGAAAGTGGATGCTCTCCTGAAACTTGCTAGTACGGTCGTGGACACACGTCCTCCCGCGCAATGTTCTTTTCTAGAGCCGTGTCGGTTATCTGTATGTACAGTTCGTACGAATAGAACCCGAGGCTACTGATTGTCAAGGGGGCGTTCGGCGAAAAGCTTCCCGAAAACATCCATCTGTTTGCGATGTAGAGTTTCAACATCGCCGTCTTCCACTCGTCTTCCCAGCTCCGGAGCCGTGTCGGACCCGGGCTCAGCACGCGGAATGTGGGGTCAGGTTCTCGGGACGACAAAGACTTCACTCCACCATGACCAAACTCGACTGGCATCACGTCGAATCTCTTGTTCCTGCGCATCCGACGGGCTGGGTTCTTCCATACGTTGAACAGATGCGTCGGGGACATCAAGCCATCCATATTGGTATCGCTACTAACAAAAGCCATCGAGGACCGACCTTTCTCACTCTGGTCCTCCATCTGGGCGGGGCGCTTCCAGGACACCCTCACTCCGGCTCGCTGCTCCGCCGGACTCTCTTCGCCCTATAGTATCATGGCTGCGCCCCAGCAATATCAACCAGATACTGGGATCCCCCCCCCGGCCGTGCTTGGCCAATACTTACTCACATACTGCGCTCTATCTCTATTGTCAATGCATCGGGTCGATATTGGGACTTGTCTCGAGCAAGCAGGCAAACGCAGTAGCACCAATACAAGGCAGGCTCGACATTCTATGCGGCAGGATTCTCGCTGCAAGGTTAGTGGTTGTAGGTGATGATTAGCAGATGGCATAAGGCGCCTGCTGTACAAGACCTTTTGAGACGGGAAGGACTGGTCAGTGTTGTGCGGAGGTAGGTTGACGGTTCGCATTTTGAAGCGTCTCTGAGTGCCTATATCTTACCGTCCTAGAATTGGCATGCGAACACGCTGAATGAGTGACCATGTAATCGTCCAGAAACGCACATAAAACATAGCGGGAAGCGGGGATCAGACAAAGAGTACAGGCCGGATTATATGTAGGATACTCTTCCGACTGGCAAGGTAAAAATATCCCAGAACGACGAGAGACAACCCCGTTCCTGACGTTTCTTCGCTTATCGCGGATATCGTCGGAAGAATGTACCTGTACCTAAGTTTCTGCCCGTAACATTCAGACATATTTCGATAGGCAAGTCAATAAGGCAACTAGAAAATAAAGCCCAGTGAGAGGACACGGGTCCTCCCCGATCATCCCTGAAATCCCCAGGAGAAGGAAAGGAGTGGCTCCCTGTTTCACCTATCACAAGGCAACGACAACTGAACGGTGACACGGCAGACGCCAGACAACTGCGATGCGAACGCCGTCGTCGGAAATCTGGACGAGCAAGGGGACGCTTGAGATGGGAGTCGAAGGCCCTACAGGTCAAACATACCCTCACAATCTCCCGCTGTGACAGCCGCCGTCGTCTCCTGTCGCATGCGATTAGTTTTAGCTCAAGCGGAAAGCGCGGCAACATGTAGGGGGTACCGGCTACCTCATCCCACCCCATCATGACAAGCCATTGGCTGAGAGGAAGATCAACGAAGGCGACTCCGAGATGTCTTCGATTGCGAGATCTTATAGTGGGGTGGGAAGGGCCCAATGTCCTGGTGAAGTAACCGGGACAAGCGGTACTAAGAGAAAACGAAGAACTAAGCGCTCGAGGACCTCTGCTTCCAATGTCACTCGACTACCTAAGGTACGAACGAATCAGTAAGACAAGACCCCTAGATCGACGTGGTCCAAGGTACTTTTCTACCTATCCATGGCTCCCAAGTACAACATCGTACCTGCAGTTATCACCTGCTCTCTGGTGCATCAAGCAAGGCAGACGGTGGCGGTGATGTTCGATGGGAGACGTGAGTAGTCTCAAAGTCAACACAGTCGTGGTCTCGCTGGCGAAGTACTCTGAAGTACGAAGTCTACCTAGGAGAGGGGGGTGAAGATGAAAGAGGGGCAACGCGGGGCAAGATGGATATAGCTCCGTCATAGGTCCTTGGCGTTACCGTGCTGCAAATAGGTAGGTACCGTAGACATGACCGGACAAAAACCAACCGACGAGGTATAAGGTATAAATGATGCACTTTTCTAGGGTGACATGAGTAAGTATTGACAGGAATAGTAAATCATGTGCTATTTCGGCCTACTCTCAGGAAGAAGTTAATGAACCAAGGTAGCTGAAGATTAGGTAAGGTAGGCAAGAGATGCGAAGATGTCAACGACTGCTAAGCCGACAATGAAGGAATAGCTGCAAACTCAAGTAGTACCTTTTGCAGGAAAAGTAAGGTACCGACTACTTGGCCGGTACACCGTATCCAAAGAGCTCCCTAAGACCTCTCCTGTCATGCCGATCCAGGTCCCTGGATAAATACCGCCCTGCCTGCCCCTCCTTAAATACCTCGAAGCTCAGGACCTTAACCTTCGACATCTCTTCGACGAACAACAAGTCTTCTTTTCTCACTTGGATCAGCTAGCAACACTCTGGAACTAGGTATGTGGCCACTCAGTGCGGCAAGGCATTCTAATTGCCAACATTAGCTTCCCTTTCTTTACCGGAATCAGTAGCTCACCTCGCAACAGACCATTTTCCCATTCACTCCGAAGCCCCAGAATATCAATATGGGCGTTAACGTCATTACCCTCCAGCCCGGCACTGGCCCCACCCCCGTGGCAGGCCAGATCGTTACTATTGAATACACTGGCTACCTCAAGGACCCCAGCAAGCCCGACCAGAAGGGTCCCCAGTATGTCCACAATCTGCCTCTGCGCCATACCAATAGCACAAAGCTAATTGCATTGCCTTCTTTCACCGCGTACTAGGTTTGATTCCTCTGTCGGTCGTGGCGACTTTATTGTCCCGATTGGTGTTGGAAAGGTCATCAAGGGTTCGTTGTTGATCTCTTAGTTACTCCGTCCTTGTTCAGGCTGCTTATTTCTCTTCGTAGGCTGGGACGAGGGTGTTACGCAGATGAAGGTTGGCGAGAAGGCAACTCTTGATATCTCCAGGTTAGATAATCCCTTTCCCTTCCTTTGATGGGCTAATGCTGACATACCCGGCTCTTCTTTTAGCGACTATGGCTATGGCGCTCGGTATGTTTCACCGGGAGACCTTAAATGAACACTCCATATGCCTCCAAAATGAGATGTCATTGACTGACGATTTCTGAACAGCGGCTTCGCTGGTCATATCCCTCCCAATGCCGACCTCCTTTTGTGAGTAACTCCTCCTCTGCCTCCCGCCTCTCCTTTTCTCCTCTCCTTTTCTCCATTTCCCGGGGTTAAAGTACCTGGACCCTGTGCTGAGAGGACGTCTTCTAGCGATGTTCACCTGAAGGATGTCAAGTAAACAAGTGCTTGGATAACGATTTGGAAACACTGCTGGAGATATCGATGATCATAAACATATGGCGAGTAATGATATGGATACTCTATGCTGGGAGGGCTTCTACGAAGTAAAGCCATTCAGACAGACTTGGCAGTAGAGGAAGGAGAAACAGCCTCCTGCCTATAGGCTGAATTCAAGTGCTCTGGCCGTATCATTCCCTTTTGGTGATTTAATTGATTCCAATGATGCCATGTCTGTACTTGCGACTACACCTCTAAACCCCTCCAGTTCAGCCGAGGAGTTCTAGAGTGGATGCTAACTTTGAAGAGGCTGGTGGGAGTGAGATTTATTAAGGGGAAAGCGTGAACAGCACCTTATACAGCAGAGATGCAACATATAAAGACGAGCCGGATATAAGACAATAACATTTTAGTGTCTTGGATAGACCAAGAAGAGATATTCAGGCACACTGGATCAAAGGGCATCCAAGCAGGCCAGGCCCTGGGCTCCGTTCGACCAGAGTCACTTTCTCCTGCTCTCTTGATATTTAATCCTGTAGAGACGAGTTTGTTTAGTTGCTTTGCCATGATATACTGCGTATAACGACTTGACTAAGGCTGGGTGTGTATGGGGTAGAATGTATAGCTACGAAGAAGGTATAATAAACGGATAAGTGGAAAGAAGGAAGTTGCTCGAATTGGATCGAAGGTTTTTACCTCCCTGGATGCACGCAAGTACCACATCCGAACAAGCGAACAAGGAAATCCCTTGTATTATGTAATACATTTACAAGCATAACTCATCGGCTTCCCCGCTCCATTCTGCTTGCCGGACTTTATCCGTAGAGCTACTCTGCCTAGAGCTGACATAACAGGATCCGTAATAGGTAACGGTAAGCTCTTGCCCCTCCTACCTGCCCGCCTGGCCATTGCCTGACGTACCTATTTCTCAGCCAGGATGCAGCCGTCTTTCGAACCCTCTCGCCTTCCACTCCTCCTCCACTAACCTACCCTCTTCATACACACGACTCATCTGCCCTGGTGCATTTTTTGGCGGCAGTAAATAGACTCCTTTTTACGGGCGACTGTGCCTTCTACTCAGCACATATCCGAACACTGGCAAACAACGTAAAAGCGCGCTTTCATTTTCATTGCACAAGTGGCGGGGTTGACATCTTCCCAGAGTCCTACACTCAAAGCTCCTCCACGTCATAGCTAAGGGCTAGTTATTCGACGACCGGTAATCAGAACTTTCAGTTCACAATCGCCAAACTGGGGAAGCGCAAACTATCTAACGGGGAGTCTTCTACCCATAAAAAAGCAATGCCTGTGAGTATCTCTACCTTGTCCAAGTCTGTTTGTTTGCCTACGCCGGCACACACATGCGTGGTATGATGCATGCATCTATATGTGTGTGCACATGCTATACCGGCAGTTGTTCTGCTACCATCGTCTCAACCCCAGTCGCATATTTCATGGCCAGTCTTGCTGATCGTTGTTTAATGCTTTTCAGGGACAAAAGCTTCCCGAGGTCGACCTCGTCACCCGGATGCAGGTCGACGACTCGGTCGCAGGCACGACCGAAATCGACGAGTCCCTCTACAGCCGACAACTCTACGTCCTGGGCCATGAGGCCATGAAACGCATGGGCACCTCCAACGTCCTAGTCATCGGTCTAAAGGGTTTGGGTGTCGAGATTGCCAAGAATGTCGCCCTTGCCGGTGTCAAAAGCCTTACACTCTACGATCCCGGCCTCGTTGCCCTTCCCGATTTGTCGTCCCAGTTCTTTCTACGTCCCGAAGATGTAGGAAAGCCCAGAGATGAGGTCACGGCTCCTCGCGTTGCCGAACTCAACGCCTATGTTCCCGTCCGCGTGCACCAATCGTCTAGGTATGTATGCTGAGTCTTGGTTTTTTTGTTTTTTTAGTGCAGTGCACTCACTTCCACTTGCTGCGGTTTTGCCGACTTGTCAACTGACGTGCTGTGACTTGTTTGCCTTGACAGTCTAGAGGAAAATCTCTCCCAGTTTGATAAATACCAGGTTGTCGTTTTGACTAGTCTCCCCCTCAAGGTACAGAAAATCATCGCCGACTACTGCCATTCTAAGGGAATCTACGTTGTCGCTGCGGACACCTTTGGCCTCTTTGGTTCGGTCTTCTGCGATTTCGGCCAACAGTTTTCCGTCATCGACGCCACCGGCGAGCCCGCACTAAGCGGCATCATTGCTGGCATTACCGAAGAAGGCCTCGTGTCTGCGCTAGACGAGACCCGTCACGGGCTTGAGGATGGAGACTATGTGACCTTCTCCGAGGTCGAGGGCATGGAAGGTCTGAACGGCTGCGCCCCGCGTAAGATCACGGTCAAGGGCCCTTACACTTTCTCCATCGGCGACGTGTCTGGCCTTGGCCAGTACAAGCAGGGCGGTCTCTACCTTCAGGTCAAGATGCCCAAGGCTGCCAGCTTCAAGAGCATGACAGACGCGCTGGCCGATCCCGAGTTTGTCATGTCAGACTACGCCAAGTTTGATCGCCCTCAACAGCTGCACCTCGGCTTCCAGGCCCTCCATGCTTTCGTCGAAAGCCAGGGTCGGTTCCCAGAGCCAATGAACGACGAGGATGCGACGGTGATCCTCCGTTCCGCCCAGAGTTTCGCCAAGGACCAGGGAATCGAGGTGGAATTCGACGAGAAGGTGATCAAGGAACTCAGCTACCAGGCGCGGGGCGACCTGAACGCCATGGCGGCCTTGTTTGGCGGCATCGCAGCGCAGGAGGTCCTCAAGGCCGTTTCGGGCAAGTTCCAGCCGATCAAACAATGGATGTACTTCGACTCGCTCGAGTCCCTCCCATCATCTTCGGCCCGCTCGGCCGAGCTCTGCAAGCCGCTCGGGTCGCGATATGACGGGCAGATCGTCGTCTTCGGACGCGAGTACCAGGAGAAGATCTCCAACATCAAGCAGTTCCTCGTGGGCGCGGGCGCCATTGGATGCGAGATGCTGAAGAACTGGGCCATGATTGGTCTTGGCACGGGTCCCAAGGGCAAGCTCGTCGTCACGGACATGGACTCGATCGAGAAGAGCAACCTCAACCGGCAGTTCTTGTTCCGGGCCAAGGACGTCGGCAAGATGAAGAGCGACTGCGCGACGGCGGCGGTTCAGGCGATGAACCCGGACCTGGTTGGGCACATCGAGTCACGTAGGGATCGTGTCAGCCAAGAGACGGAGGAGATTTTCAACGAGGAGTTCTGGGAGGGCCTGGACGGGGTGACGAATGCACTGGACAACGTGGAGGCCAGGACGTATGTGGACCTCCGTTGCGTGTTCTTCCAGAAGCCGCTTCTGGAGAGCGGCACGCTGGGCACGAAGGGGAACACGCAGGTGATTCTGCCGCACCTGACCGAGTCGTACTCGTCGTCGCAAGATCCTCCCGAGAAGGGCTTCCCCCTGTGCACGATCCGGAGCTTCCCCAACAAGATCGACCACACGATCGCGTGGGCCAAGGAGTACATGTTCGAGAATCTGTTCATCGAGTCGCCGTCGACGGTCAACCTGTACCTCACGCAGCCCAGGTTTGTCGAGTCGACGCTCAAGCAAGGCGGAAACGCCAAGAACATCCTGGAGACGCTGAGGGACAGCCTGACGACGGACCGGCCCCGGACGTTCGGGGACTGCATCGCCTGGGCTCGGCTTTTGTTTGAGCGGGAGTTCAACAACAAGATCCAGCAGCTCCTGTACAACTTCCCCAAGGGCGCGAAGACGTCGTCGGGCACGCCCTTCTGGTCCGGACCGAAGCGTGCGCCGGATCCGCTCAAGTTCGACGCTTCGAACCCAACGCACTTTGCCTTTGTGGTGGCGGCGGCGAACTTGCACGCGTTCAACTACAACATCAAGTCGCCCGGGACGGACAAGGAGATTTACCTGCGGGAGCTGGAGAACGTCATCGTGCCGGACTTTGCGCCGTCGGAGGGCGTCAGGATTCAGGCCAACGACACGGATCCGGTACGTCCACCTCCCCCCCCCCCCCCCCCCCCCCCCCCCCCCCCCCCGGGCCCGGTCATACGCCCGCTGTGCAAGTGAAACTGACAGAGTTGGCGTGGGGTTTTTTCTTTTAGGATCCGAACGCCGAGGGAGGATCGGACGAGGAGGAGCTGCAGAAGATCATCAACAGCCTCCCGTCGCCCAATGAGCTAGCCGGGTTCCAGTTGACGCCGGTCGAGTTTGAGAAGGACGACGACACGAACCATCACATCGACTTTATCACGGCGTGCAGCAACCTGCGGGCGGCCAACTACAAGATCGAGGCGGCGGATCGGCACCAGACCAAGTTCATCGCGGGCAAGATCATCCCGGCGATCGCGACGACGACGGCGCTGGTGACGGGACTGGTGATGCTGGAGCTGTACAAGGTGGTGGACGGCAAGACGGACCTGGAGCAGTACAAAAACGGGTTTATCAACCTGGCGCTGCCGTTCTTCGGGTTCAGCGAACCGATTGCCAGCCCCAAGGTGGAGTACAAGGGGCCGGAGGGCAAGGTCAAGCTGGACAAGATTTGGGACCGGTTCGAGGTGGAGGACATGACGCTCCGGGAGCTCCTGGATCACTTCGAGAAGAAGGGCCTGACCATCTCGATGCTCAGTTCGGGGGCGAGCCTGCTCTACGCCAGCTTCTTCCCGCCGGCGAAACTCAAGGAGCGGTATCTGCTCAAGCTGAGCAAGCTGGTGGAGACGGTGTCGAAGAAGCCGATCCCTGCTCACCAGAAAGAGGTCATCTTTGAGATGGTGGCGGAGGACATGGACGAGCAGGACGTGGAAGTTCCTTACATCAAGGTCAGGAAGGGTTAAACGAAAGGGAGACGGGAACGGAACAGAGCAAGGCGGTTGTCTCGACTGGGTTTCCCTCTCCTTCTGAACGCCTAGAAGGGTTAGGAATAGACGGAATACGTGGGTTTAGTATGACTTTTTGTCTTTGAAGGGTATTATTACGATGAGATGGGCGTAGATGATGTTAAAATACCATGGCCCGAGTTGGTAAGGCCCCTACGGTACGGTACCTAAGGTAGTTCATGGTAGTCTGAAGCAACCGACTTTACCCAGTGAAACGGACGGGGCTAATACAAGTTTAAGTGTAAGTTTGTACTAAGTACGGATAAATGAGTTGTGCGATCAATAAGGTACCGTACCTGTATCGCCAGGGCAAAGGTGAAGGAGCGTAGTTGATTGGTACGAAGTACATTCGTCCGAGACTCAACAGGTGACTAATAATGCTTAGGAATGACAATTCGACATTATGCCAAGGCGGAGGTTTTAGGATCGGTAGTCAGATAGTTAGTCATGGTTACCTCATATATTATCGAGTGCTAGAAGCTCTCAACTGAGGTTCTCTACTCACTTATTAACATCATTACTACGTAGTTGTAATCATTCATAATCCCAAACGGACAGTGAAAGTCGAGCATCATAAGCATCACAAGCATCACAACACAACCCCTCACCTATAAGTTACAACCAATGAACCGATAACCCAGCGCTTATTTACGGATACATACCTTATACATAAGGCATATATATATATATATATATATATATTCTACGTAAAGGCTATAATCTATGAAGACCCTTCGTCTCATAAACCCTACCTTCGCCAACAGGATTGGGATCCAGTGTCAAACGTCTTCCTCCATCAGAACATACTCGACATCTCAGGCGACAGTTAAGCAATCCAGCATCAACTCCAGCGGCTTCGGCTATATCGGGAACCATCACCGACAGCAGCAACAAATCAGAACCATGGTGAGACTTTCTTTTCCATCCCAGCTATAGGGACCAGCCGAGATGGGAGAATGCCAGCTGACATGGGGACCATTTAGTCGACCACCAACAACAATACTACCAAAAAGGACGGCATCCTCAACTGGGTCAAGCCCGGTGACACGTCGGGCGAGTTCAAGCGTCAACAGAGTTCATTCCGGGACTGGATCTCCCGCGAGTCGGGTGCCCGGTTCCCGCCGGAGAAGGGTCGGTATCATCTGTACGTGAGCTATGCTTGTCCCTGGGTGAGTCTCTCTCTCTCCCCCTTCTTTTTAACACCAGAAACGTATCAACTAAACGACCCCCCCAAGGCCTGCCGAACCCTCATCACGAGGAAACTCAAAGGCCTCGACGACGTGATCAGCTACTCCGTCGTCCACTGGCACCTCGGCGAGAAAGGCTGGCGCTTCACCACCCCGGACGACCTCGCCGAGGACGTCCCCGGCGACAACGTCATCCCGGACCCCGTCGAGGGCCACGAGTCCTTCACCCACCTGCGCCATATCTACTTCGAGTCCAACCCGGGCTACGAGGGTCGCTTTACCGTCCCGGTGCTGTACGACAAGCAGACCAAGACGATTGTCAGCAACGAGAGCAGTGAGATTCTGCGGATGCTGGGAACTGAGGTATGCCGTCGTCGTCCTCCTCCTCCTCCTCGTCATCGTCATCTTCATCGGTCGTTGCTGGTTTCACGAGAGACAGACAAGACAAGAGAGTTAACAAGGGAAAAAAACAAACAAAGTTCGACGACTTGACCGAGCCTCGATTCCGGGAATGGCACCCTTACCCGGACAACCTGCGCAGCCCAATCGACGAGACGAACGGGTGGGTGTACGACCTCATCAACAACGGCGTCTACAAGTCCGGCTTCGCTACCACCCAGGCAGCGTACGACCGCAACGTCGTGGCCTTGTTCGACGCCCTCGACCGCGCCGAGGCCCATTTCGCCTCCAAGAAGCCAGAGGACGGGCCGTACTGGTTTGGTGATGTGATGACCGAGGTGGATATCCGGCTGTGCGTAGTTATTCCCCCGTTCCTCCGTTCCTCCGTTCCTCCGCCCCCCCCCCCCAGCAGACCATGAGAAGCGAGACAGCTAACCAAGTGAATGAACGTTCCAACCGTCCCCTCAGTTTCGTGACTCTTATCCGCTTCGACGTAAGCCCCCCCCCCCCCTTTTTTTCTTTCTTCTCAACACTGATCACTGATCTGGGGAGCCACCAACAACTAACACCGCCCGCCATCCACCAGCCCGTCTACGTCCAGCACTTCAAGTGCAACATCCGCGACATCCGCTCCGGCTACCCGCGCCTGCACGCCTGGATGCGCAACCTCTACTGGAACCACCCGGCCTTCAAGGAGACCACCCAGTTCGAGCACATCAAGTGGCACTACACCCGCAGCCACGCCCAGATCAACCCCTTCGCCATCACCCCGCGTGGCCCCGTCCCTGATGTGCTGCCCTTGGATCAGGAGGTTCGCGCTGTCGAAGCCGCTGTTTCCAAGGCGTGAGTGGGAGGGAAGCATAGCTCGTTCGAGTACACAGAGGGGCCAAACTCATGTCATGTAATGGTACAATCACGAAATAAACCTTCCACATTCACAGCGGTGGTCGGCTTTTTAGATGAGGGTATCACAACACCTACTCCGTCCAACACGAAGAACTGCATACAGGGGAGAGAGAGGCCTGTCCAATATCAACATTGCTCAACATACCTACCCGCTACACAATCCAGCCTACAGTGGAATGCTCTCACGCGGGAAACTCGGGTAAATCAAGTACGTTGATAAAAAAGTAGCCTCACATAAAACACCCCTATCCCCCCTTATATTCCATTTCTATGACATGAAGCGACTATGTCAGACCATTAGATGTGATGCAGTGGTAAACAGCGCAAAGGACACCGCCAAGTGAGACAGCAACAAAATGATAGTGATACCACATGAGCAACCAAACAACAAAATTAAGGGGAAAAAAAAAAAAATTCCCGCTATATATATGTACATATATAGAACGAACCCGACAGCCCCGAACCCAAGGTAATCTCCTGCTTGCTTTGCGTGCATCCCTTTCCTTTGCTTTTCTCCGTGTTCTCTCAACTTGCGTCGTGTCCAAGAGGCCATGACGCATGGAGATTATTGTTTAGGGCAAAAAGTAGGAACATAACATGATGGTAACAACCAACTGTGCTTTTTTCTTCTTCTTTTTTTTCTTTCTGTCATTATAGCTGGCCTGACACAAGCGCTTCCGTAGCTGGAAGAATATTAGTATCTGGACCAAAAAGAAGGACCAAAAAGAAGGACCAAAAAGAGGACCAAAAAGGGGAACAAAAATACATACCACTGTTGATATACGCCCGCTTCGCATCCAGAGCCACGCCAAAGCGCCGCTCCAGCTCCTGCTTAATCCCCTTCTTGGTAACCGTCATCAGATCCGCCGTGCGCAGAATCTCGCGGATCTCCGCCAGCAGCGCATCGTCGCTCGGCAGGCCCGCCAGCTCCTCGGGGGAGAAGAACTGCGACCCGCCAAACTGGCTCGCCCGGTTCCCCAGGTTCGGCGTGCTGTTGTTGTTGCTGTTGTTGTTGTTGATGTTGTTCTGACCAAAGCCGCCCATCATTTCCGAGGCCGCGAGGGACATGCGCGACAGGTTCCGCGAATCGATACCGCCGACGCCGCCGCCGTACGGGGGGAGGGGAGGCGTAATGGCCGCGCCGCCGCCACCGTACCCGCCCACAAAGGACCCGGGCCGGCTGTGCGGATACCCATACTCGGACACCGCCACCTGAGCGCCGTGTTGTCCCTTCTTGGTGGCGTAGCTGTACCCGGAGACCTCGGAATGCGCGTCGTCGCGGATCGTCTGGTTCTCCCAGAGCTCGGCCTGGTACTCCTCCCACTTCTTACGCGGGATCGAGCTCGGGTCGAACTTGCCCTCGTCCGTGATGACCACCTTCTTGCCGTGCTCGCCCGCCACCACCCGCGTGTTGCCCCAGTTGAAGTCATCCATGTGCCAAAAGGCGTACAGGGGGAGCCCGAAGCTGAAAACGGGGATGGCGATAATGTACAGAATCATCCACCCGATCATCTCCCACTTCCGGCGCAGGATGAAGATGATGGCCTGCAGCCCGTAAATGGCCGCCAGGAGAATAAAGGCCGTGATGGGCACGAACGAAGGGTTCCGCGCCACGAGGACGATCAGGTACACGATATACGCCACGACAACCGGCTGCACGATAGTGCTGAGAAGATCCACAAAGACCACGAACCGCATGGAGAAGCAGCAGAAACCGCAGAGCTGGGTCATGGGGATGAGCTCCATCAGGTTATGCACGGTGGAGTTGATCCAGCGACGTCGCTGCGAGAGGAACACCTTCCACGAGTCGGGCGCGATCGTCCAGGCTTGGGCGCGGCGGATATACTTGGTCTTGTACTTGTTGTGGTACTTGAGCAGCAGCGTCGTCAGGTAGCGGTCCTCGCCCAGGTGCAGCAGGTTCTTCATATGCAGCGTGTCGACCCGGATCGTCGCGTAGGCCTCGACCACCTCCCGGCAGACGAACAGCGGCTTGCCCGTCTCGGCGGCGCGGATGCGGTACATGGAAAAGCAGCCGGGCAAGCAGGTGACGCTGCCGAACAAGCTCTCGAAGGCCTTGGTCAGGTTGTGCGATATCCAGTACTCGTACACCTGGATCATGGTGATGAACGACGACTTGGCGTTGCTCAGCGCCGTTTCACCGCAGACGGCGATGATGCGCGTGTCGTCCAAAAAGGCCGATATCATGCGCGTGGCCGAGTCGGGAGCCACGTCCGTATCGGCGTCGATCTGGAACATGAATTCGTAGAACGTCGGGTTGACGCCGATGACGTTGCGGATCTGGTGGTACATCTCCAGCTCCAGAGGCGTCATCGCCAGGTTATAGTGGACGCGGTTCAGGAACCGCATGATGACCATCTGCGAGTCTCGCTTGCCGCGGTTGCCGGGACGAGACACCTCCGACGGCTTACCGACCTTGACGATCACCAGGAACGGGACGATGTGGCCCTGCACCTCGTACAGGCCCGAGTAGACCTTGCCCATGTTATGCTGCTTGAGGCCCTCGCCGAGCGACTCGAAGCTGAGCGGCTCGGGGTCGACCGTCTCGGGCACGCCGAGGATATCGAGCACGATGCGCGGCGTCGGCCTGTCGTTACCTTGGCCGATAATCATGCCGTCGCAGACGATGACGAGCAGTTTACGCTTATCGTCGTAGCGCATCCGGGCCGCCGAATCGATGGCTCGACGCAGCGACTCCTCGTCCTCGGTATAGGCGGGAATCTGGCACATGATGAACTTGTCGAGGTTCTCCGGCATGGTCTTGGTACCGAACTGAAGCGCGGCGAAGAACTTGAAGGCGATGATGCTGGCGAGGAGAGCCGAGATGGCCAGCACCAGGTACGCCGCGAACTGACAACGCACCGAGCCTCGGGTATCCACGTCGCCAACGTAGAAGAGGTTGTTCAGGCAGGTGGTCATGTTGCCCTTGACCTCCGGGTCGATATCGAGCGCTTCATAGTGCTTCGTGATGTCCTCGCCCGACATCTGTCTGATCAGCGTCATGACCGACTCGTCCATGAAGTCGACTTCGTCCCGGCTTCCCGGGTTCGGTTCCGGCCGGCCGGGCTTATCCGCCATGGGGCGACCTCCAATGACGTACTGGGTAAGGTCGTAGACGTGCCCGTCCATGCTCACCACCACTTCCTGCCTCCGTCCGAGCGTGCTGATGTACTGAGGCGAGAACCCGACCCTTCCCTTGAGGTAGCGCGATCTCAGCATGGACATTTGTTGGTAGTACCAGTGCTCCCGGGTGTCGTTGGTGAAGTAGCGGAAGTCGTGGAACCTGGCGTTCAAGTCGTTGCGGTTGATGACCGTCGGTGAGCCGGTCAGGTTACGGGGCTTGTAGTCGAGGAGGACCCTTGGATCCACACGCCCGCTCCGGCCTCTGCAAAGTGCGGAGACCTGCACGGGGAAGAGAGAGCTGACATCCATGCCGGCGTAGTCGAGGATGTCCTCCGTGTCGATGTTGGGGGGGTAGTGCCGGGGAGCGTAGGCGCCCAGATCGAAGACGTACCCGCGGATCGAGATGTAGGCGCCCCTGCTGCCCCTCTCGCCGTTGTACGACGATAGCTCCTGGGCGCTGTACACATCCTGCCTGGGGCAGATGAGCAGAGGGAACCCGACCATGAAGAAAGCCGCCACCCCGCAGGCTAGCCAGATCATCAGGTTGATGGCTAGTTTCTCCCTCCAGGCCACGCGGACGTCTTTGCGAGGCATGCGGCCGAGCTTCCGGATGAAGAAGTCGGGGATGAACCAGGTCATCACGTAGACGGCAAAGACCCAGCGCTTGCGGCTCGGACTATCCTTGTATTCCTCGACCTCGACCAGGCTCTTTTCATTGCCGCGCTCGGCCATCTGTTCTCTCGTGTCGAGGTTCTTGAACATGTCGCCGCCGCCAAAGGCAGACACGCCGGCCTCGGAGCGGGTGTCGGAAGAGTCGTGGCCTCCGAAGAAGCCGCTCCTCGTCTTTTCGCCGTACATCAGCGGCGTGTTACCGGCCGAGAGGAGCCGTTCTTTGGAGGCGCCGAAAGCATACCCGTCACCTCCTCCGGCGTCGGAGGGCTGACCGAGGCGGCCCGATGCCGAAGACGCCTCGGCCAGCTGAGCAATGTCCATCCAGTAACGCTCACTCAAGAAGACGCCGGTGGAACCGACGCGGACCTCGTTGCCCGGCCACCGCCTGTCCTCGATGACCAGCTCGGCCCTTTCCCTCTCGCTGCCCACGAGCATGGTCTCGGCGTCGACCAGTCCCAGGAACTCGCCAAAGGGAAGGAAGAGGCTGAAGTCGGCGGACCTCAACCGTTGGCTCACTTCGGCGATGCCGAATGTCTGCACTTGGGTCCGGACGCACTTGCTGTCGAACTGGTTGGCGATGCGGCGATCGTTGGACTTTAGGCAGAAGACGAAGTACGAGTTGGTGGAAGGGTCGGCGACCGCGCGGGTGACGTTGTCCAAGGCGGCGAGGAACTGGCCCGCAGCACCGCCGTGGTCCGACGAAGCAGGGTTCCTGGAACCGCCCACCTGGGAGGCGGTGTCGCTGGTGGGCTTCTCCGCCTCGGCAGGCTCGGCAGCCTGGCGCTGCAAGACCTGCTGTGTCCGCGCGGCCGCGGCGGCGCGGGCCGTCTTCCTGGACATGACGCTGGGAGCGCGCATCGGCCTGGAGCTGATGCTGGCCTGCATGACGGTAGACCTCTCGTTCGGATGGGGCACGGTCTGGAGGGCGTCCTGGCCAAACAGACGGGCGACAAAGTCGCTCTTGGTGGAGTTGACCATGTTGAGGAGGTCGGCCGAAATCACCTCGCCATTCTCCTCCACCAGCCCCTTGACGGGGTAGTCGACCTCGCCGGCAAAGTGCTTGACGGTGAAGACGGCAGCGGCGTTTTCGGTCAAAAAGTTGCTCCCGGGAAGTTTGGCGGTGGAGGAGCCGGGGGTGATGGCAGGGTTCTTGCCTTCGAAGCGCTTCCGAAGGCTCTCGAGGAACTGAAGGTCGGTGCGGTTCCGGCGGCTCTGGTCATCGAGGATGCTCAGCAGGCCGTTCCCGGGCTTGAGGAGCCCGCGGACGGCGTCCGAGTTGTCAAAGTAGCTCGTGGCGGCCACGGCGACGTCCTCGTTCTCGAGCAGGTCGGCCTTGCGGTCGAAGAAGTTTTGCAGGGTCAGGTTATACAGGGCCTCGGTGGCGGCGTTGTTCAGGAGCTGGTCGAGGACGGAGCCGGTGGAGGTTTGTTGGGAGAAGCCGGGGAAGTCGATGATGGAGACGGTGTTGGCGACGGAGTCTTCGGGGGCGCAGAGGCGTTGGTTGACGTTCTCGATAATGTAGGTGACGAGGAGAGAGTAGAGAGTCCTGGCCAGCTCGTTGGCGTGGGCCCGGGCGCCGCTGGGATCGAGCATGATGGTGACGCGCTCCTTGTGGATCATCTTGGTCTTGTACGAGAGGGTGGTTTGGAGGTCCTGGGTGCTGACGCCGAGGAAGGCTGCGATGATGGCAAGAACATCCTTGTTCTTGGCCACGGTGACCATGGTGGCGCCTTCGTGGGAGAAACCACCGCTGTCATCGCCGGTGACCTGGGTGTTGGCCGAACTTTCAAACTCGAGCTGGCCGATGTGGAGGATGGTGGCCAGGATCTGGCAGATCTCGGCAATCTCGCTCCGGGGGAACTCGAGCTTCCGTAGGGCGTTCTTGAAGATCTGGAAGCCCTCGGCGTCGTTGATGCCAACCTTGAGTTGGGTCGGGTGGCCCAGATATTTCCAGCGCCTGTGGTGGGCGGTCGAGTCGTCGAGGCCCAGATGGGTCTTCTCGGCCGGAGTGGTGCCGGCGAGGAGGTAGTAGAGGATGTGAAAGTTCCGCTCTCCTGTGGGGACGTCGGTGATACGGCTGCGTTCCAGACGGTGGTCGAGGAGTTTGCTGCCCACGAGGACGGGGTTGGTAGTGGTGGATGTGTCATATTGGAGTTCGTAGAACAAACCAGCCTTGGATGCGGTCGGGGTCGTGGCCGTCTTTGTGGTGGTGAGAGTATCGAAGACGTAGGCTGCGAGGGAGGCCTTTGTAGAAAGGGGAGTTGAGGATTTGTTGAGCATGGCGGTCAATAGATGAGCCCTGATGGTAGATTTGCCGGAGCCGGATTCGCCTCTGTTGCGTAGGATGTGTTGTCAGCTTTTCATTGTATACGATTCTTTCGTCGAGTCCCGAGTCAACTTACAGGAAGACGATGGCTTGGTTCTCGGATCGATGGCCCAGTCGGAGCCAGGCACGGTCTGCCATCTCCTCGGCGCCAGCCATGGCGCTCCCCTCCTTGCCTCCATCCGGGCCTTTGGAAGACGAGGTATAATTATTGATGGAAATCAGGGCATGCGAGGAGAGTTTGGCAGTGGGAAGGGACACATGGAATCGACTGGCCAGGTGGGCAGTCAACTGAGTATCGGACTGCAGATGAGCCGGCAGCGACGGTAGGGAAGCTTGAGAATGAGCTCCGCTACCGGCTGACAGGGACGGCAGGTTCATGGTCATGATGGGCAAGATGGGCAAGATGCCCCGAGGGAGCAGCCGGGGCCTGGGGACCTGGCGCCGTAGGCACCCTTATACCGAATAAACGACGGCCGTTTGTCCACAGCAGGTCGAGGAGGTGTCGGTAACAGGAGGATATTAGCTGGTCAACGGTACAGCGTTACGCCGTTGTTGGGTGGCTGTCGAGAGATAAGCCACGTCGTTTAAGGCGTTCAGACGCTTGTCTATAGACTATTGTCCACAGGTACGAGACACAGGGGACGCTGGGGGCTTTCGGTGGTGCCAGAGAGCGATGGTCTAGCCGAGACGGGGCGAAACGAGGGAAGAGAGAAATCTGACAGAACGAGAGAGAGAGAGAGAGAGCGAGAGGATTTCACGGCCTGGCAGAAGCCCTAACGAAGGAGAAGAAAGATGGGAAGAAACGTATCCCCCGAGATATTAGTTCGAAACGAGGATAACGAATGTCGAGTTGAAGGGGAAGAAGATTAAAACGAAAAAGAGAAGAACAAGATAGACGGCTTTGCCCGGCCAAATGCTGAACGATTCTCTACGGACGAGGGGATCGACGGATGGACTGAATTTCTTAGGGACACCAGCAGAGGAAAAGCAGAAAGCAGAAGGGGATCGATGATTGCCTTCATGGCAGGGGCAGGGGGGGGAGGGGTGTCAGATTACGGCGGGCTATAACGCTCATAGGCCACAGGGGGAAGGGGTAAAAAGTGGGGAAAATAGAAGCAAGGCAGGTACGGCGTACCTGTGTACTTGGCTGTGGGAAGGAAGAGTGGCCATGTGTACACTACCTAATAAGGTACACTACGAGCAGCATCCTGCCCGCAGCGGGTCTTGCCAGCGTGTTACCTAGGTAGCCTACCTTATGTACATACAGTATCTAGGTACCTTAGGTACCTACCTTACATAAGGTACGTTGTATGTCTCCAGTACGAACACAAAGTACGCCCCTCGCACATGTACTCCGTACGTTGGGTGGACCATTGGAGTGACCATTGTGCGAGGACGACTGGCCTGGGAACACCCGAACCCGAACAAGAATAGCGCGGGCTGGAACACTTTGTTTGGTCCCGGGGAATCCCTTTTCGAAGCGCGAAAGCTTGATTAGTACTAAGGTAGTTACGCAGCTACACAGTAGTCTACCTTATGGAGCAACACGGCGGGCGCAAGGCAGAACAGACCCAAACGAACAATTTTGGCCGATGAATGAATAAATTTGATAATTCAGTAGTATAAGACATCAATGTCATGTTATGTTACTTCTTGGCTTTGTGTTAGCTGAACATTCCACAATGTCAGATAAACGATTAATAATGGGCTTCTAAGTTCGAATCGAGGCAGAGGAGACACAAGCTCGGAGTGGCATTCCACCAGGTACATAGGGTAGTCACGGGCTTCAGGGTCGCTCTCGAGATTCATCATGTTAACCCGTGCTCCATGCTGCAAAGCCGTTGTTTATTCGAAACCAAAGGGTAACGGCGATCTTGTCGTCTTATTAGTGTCACCTCCGTCGGGTCTCAGTTAACCTTTATTTTGCCAGAGCACTCATCATTGCTTTTATTACATTCCAACTAAGCTTATTTCCTGACAAATGCTCACTTACTTCGTACACTACCTTATTACTTGGTGCAAATTATGGTATAGTTTTCTTGACCGGACGGGACGATGGGAAAAGACGATGACAGATACAGTGCAAAATCCCACGAAAAGACGATAAGATCACCGAGGACCCCAACGAAGAAGTGCCAAGAGAGGCAAGCGGGAGGCGCTAAACGCTAAACGGGCGAAATAAACGGGCCCTCGATCTCTCTACGGTACCCATTACTTCAGTACGTTGTACTTGGCCCCATCGGTCGACAGTGACAATGGAACCCTTGCCCTTTACGAAGTATGGTCATGGATGATTGTACGAAGAAAACCTTTAGGGTATCGTATCGTCAAGTCAGATTCATGGCCGGTTTCTCGGGAGTTGTTTCGACTTTTTCCAGTGAGAGAGGGAGAGAGACGGCGGGCTCAAAAAAAGGAAGAAGAAAAAAAAGGTGGACTTGCTGCATGGCTGCACACCACCTCAACAGAGCGATACGAACTGCTGCGCCGATTCGATTCGATCTGCATGAGACCCTCTGCTTCATAAGGTAGCCAGCCAGACAGCCAGCAATGCCTCACAGTAGCGCCACGTCCCATCTTGCTTATTATGGATCACACGGTTCATACCCCATCAAGACAACAAGTGAACCCATCTGTCTCAGGGGAGGGGTCAACACCCCTTTTTATTTTTCCTTCTCGATCTTATTGTTAGGCGGGTATGGACTGGAGCACAGCGTACACGTACAGTCAGACTACTTTATGAACCGCAATCTTACGAAATAACAAAGAATGCGCGCCGAGTTTCTGCCGAGCCTCCATAAATAACAATACAAGAATGAAGCCCGGAAAAAAATTGAGTAAAGAAATCGAAGAGGAAAAGAAAAGAACCCCCCCCCCCCGGTTTGTACGGCCCTCGTATTCGTGGGTCATGCAAGCAGTCACTTTGCCCACTCCAGTATGGGAGGAGGAGGGTCAACGAAGCCCAAAGAAAGAAAATGGGACTGTCGAAAAGAAAAGACGCTGAGGCGACCCGAGCTGCTTGCATACCTGAGATGATTACAAGTGGGACGGAACGGTCTCGTCTCATTCGGCTGAATTCTGGATCATCGTGGAAGCCGGCGGACGCTACAGAGTACTCCATAGAGTTCCAGCCCAAGAAACGACTGTCGGACAGTCGAACCGTCGAACAGTCGAACTGGGCACCGGTGTCACTGGTCGTCACCCCAAGGTCCTTGTTCCTGTCCACCCAAGTCTCTCAGGTCCTCTCTCTATGAAGTACACACGAAAGTACGAACGTTTTATTTCGTCCACAAGGTACCTACTTCGAACGAAAGAACTTCGTGGGCTGTTGCGCGACCCCCTGGACGGGGCCCACCCATCAGCTTTCTCTCGCCTCGGGTACGAAGTAGTCTGTACCAATCGTCCTATCATGGCCGTCATCCTGTCATTTTAGGGTCCTTTCCTTTAGGTCCCTCAGGGGGGAGGGGGTCCTATTGGAAGGAGGGTATTATTGTCATCCGGGCCTAGTACCCCACCGTATGTATTCTCAGCGTTCGCCTGGACTTTGACCCCCCTGGCTGGCATGTCGTCTGGGGGGTTCTGTTCGGGTTCTGGTTTACGCCGTCGATCCCTCCTGCCCTGACCTTCTCTAAACCTTCACCTTTACGTGAATCCATCCTCCTCTCTTCGTTGCCCTCGCTTCAACTTGTTCATTGTCTAATCGTCTTTCGCTGAAAGTCGTCTTTTTTTTCGCTTCCTATCTAGCCTTCCTCATTCTCCGACTGCCTCATTCGTTTCGGCGGTTGCTTAATCCATCGTTTAATTCCTCCTTCTTCTTTTCCATCGTTCGTTCTCCCCAGAAATCCTGTTCAATCCAACTTTACTTCTCGAAAAGAAGAAGGACCTTTCGTTTGCCTAACACGGTCACCGGAAAAAAAAAACCCCGACCTTTACGAGTTGCAATCAACTGCCTGTTTTCATCATCCTTTCCGTTGATACTAGACACGTCCACATCCAGTCCACGTCAACGTCAACTCGACGTCCAACCTCGAACAACGCTCTCGCTCGAACTCTTCTTACCATACTCCATACTCGTACACACAACGCCGGTACTGACCGCACTGCTCACTGGCTCCGACCCCTCCCTGGATTCATCTGCCACTCCCGCATTAGTCTTTCTTTGACGGGCTATTCTCCTTCACGCCTCTGTTCCAGTATCGAAAACGAAAACGTGACTGTCCTCAAGGGGACATCACGGACGCCCAGCCCTCGATATGGCAAACTCACGCATGTCCATGTACTCGGTGGGCTCCGAGATGCCTGCAGGGTCGTCCAGAGGCATCGGCCAGCAACCCTCCCAGGTTTCAACCACCAGTCTCCTCAACTCGATCCACAACATCTATCTCTCCTCCCAGCCGTACCCCCTCGATGCTGGCACAAGTGTCGTCGTCAACACATGGCTCACGGCCGCTCAGCCTGGCCATGATGGCAGGGCCGGCGGGACCGTGGATTCTTCCTTGGGCGCCAAGGCATGGGAACATGCCCGTCGGCGTGCTGAGGACGGCTGCATCATATTAGGGTATGTTAATATGACGACCGGGATAAAAAAGAAAAGAAAAGAAAAAATGAAAAAGAAAAAGAAGAAAAAAACCCAATCCTTTCCTCATATGCCGTGTCATGTAAAATTCCTTTGCTGATTGGTCTAGTTCTCTCCATGCATCGACTCCCTCCGTACTCACTCCGTTCATCGCGTCCTTGCCCTTTTCTGCGCCCTCCTCTCTCTACAACGCGTTAAGTGCCATTCAGCCCTTCCTACGATGCTCCACGCCATATAACCCGTCCACTCCTCGACAGGTCGCCCTGGGCGTGACTTTCACACTTAATCTTGCCGGCAATCTCAAGACAGCCTCGGTTTCCCTGGCCCAGGGCGGCATCGACACTGCCAAGGGCCTGCTGAACATCCCACCGGAAGCTGGATATAGGGCCTTCGATGTATTCTATTATCTGTTGACCTCGGCTTCGACCCCCGCCGAAAGGGAATTCCTCGGCCTCAAGCCTGCTTCCAACTACACTCTCTTGGCACGGTCCGGCACGTACGACCCGCCCCCTTACCTCCCGACGGCCGACGACGCCGCTTCCGCCGAAGACTTCCGCACCGCTCTGAAGGAGATCGGTATCAAGGGCTCCGCCCATCGGAATCTCATCTCTACCCTGGCCGGCCTGCTCAACCTCGGCAACGGCCTGGATTACGGCGTCGACGAGGACGCATTGGACGAGATATGCGAGGACGTCGGCGGGCTGCTGGGCATGGAGCCCGAAGTCCTGATCAAACAGTGCACCACCGAAGACCGCACCACCCTCGTCGGTGGTCTGTACGAGTCCCTCGTGGACTGGGTCCTTTCCAAGGCGAATCAAGCCATCGAGGCCCAGATGCTTCGCATTCGGAACGGGGAGGAGACCATGGACGGCCGTCGTGGTGCGCAAACCCCCACCTCCGATGCCGAGAGCGAGGACACCGTCTGCCTGACCGTCCTGGAGGTGCCTGACCCGGCCCTCGGCAAGGCAGCGGCCATGCGCGGCGTGTTCGATGACACCGCTGGCATCAACGCCGAGATGATTGCGGATGGCATCGAGCTTCCCTCTCCCGGCACCTCCGTGGCCCGGGAGATGGAGAACGCCGTGGCCGAGGTCGCTCCCCATCTCGGCATTGCCAACTCTCCCGCCAGCCGGGAAAATCAATACCAGCTCGAGAAGAGGGAGACCATTCTCGAGAAAGTCGCCCACTCCTGCGAAGACGACGGCTTTGTCAAGCAGCTGCTCTTCCCCGTGCCAGGAGAGGGCATCAAGCTGGGCAGCCACGGCCGTATCGACCTGGCTAGCCTGCTCGTCTCCAGCCGCGTTTGGTACCATCTGTCGCTCCACCCCACCGACGACTCTCCGCAGAGTCTGGCGGCCCTGCCGTCCGTTACTTCGGCGTGGTCGGCCGGCACCGTCTCCCGTCAGCTTCGCGCATGGCGCCTTCCCGAATGGGCCAACAGGCGCAACAAGAATCTCGATTTCACCGCCGACTTCGACGTCGAGGAATTCGTCCAGCGTTATTCGATCCTCGGCTGCAAGGATGGCCGGGACGGTATCGAGAGCTGGATCCTGGAGCGTGGCTGGAGCAACGGCGAGGTCATCGTAGGCAGAGAGCGTGTGTGGATGCGCGAAGCCGCTTGGTGGGAGGCCGAGAGCATGCTCGACCTCAAGCCAAACGACGGCGGCTTCCCCGGCATGGGCATGGGTATGGAGTCCGGCTACTCCGCCGCCGGCAGCTCTTACTTCCCACCCCAAGGTATGGACGGCGGTCCCTTCAACGGTAGCAACGACCAGCTCGTCCATCACCAGCGCAACCTTAGCCAGGGGAACATGTCTCAGGCCACCTTCCACGTCAACCCCAACGCCAACGGCCTCTCGGCGCCGTCCATTGCGCCGACGGCCATGACCGGAATGCGCAACACCGTCCGCGGCGACTATGGACTCGGCAGAAAAGGGGACACCCGCAAGGACCAGGTGTACTACAATGAGGACGGTGAATTCGTCGGCCAGCTGGACCCCGAGTTGGCCCACAACAAATCCATCGAAGAGCACGAGATGACCCGTGCCCGAAGGATCTGGGTGGTGATCGTCTGGGCGCTCACTTTCTGGATCCCGTCCCCGCTCCTCCGGTACGTCGGACGTATGAAGCGGCCGGACGTGCGCATGGCCTGGCGCGAGAAGCTCGTTCTCTGCTTCTTCATCGTGCTCCTGAACGGTATCATCGTCTTCTGGATCATCGGACTCGGACGCGTTCTCTGCCCCAACTTTGACAAGGCCTACAGCCAGCGCGAGGTGGCCACCCACACCGGCACCAACGATTTCTGGGTCAGCATTCACGGCAAGGTGTACGACATCACCCGTTTCTACAGGCTCCAGCATTCCGATATCGACATTCCAACCACCACGGACAACATGATGCCGTTTGCCGGCATGAACCTAGACGACTACTTCGTCGCGCCCCTGCCGTTGACGTGTCCCGGCCTCGGCATCCCCGAGACCACCCGTCTGATGCAGAACAATACGCCCGAGTATCCCACCGGCGTCCATACCTCGGGCTTTTATCAGGCCAATCCCACGAGCCAGCTGTACCGGGACGACTGGTATACCCGTCGCTTCCGGCCCCGGATCAAGGAGTACTTCAAGGGCGACCTGGTCTGGTCGCGCAATGAGGTGCGGCGCGAAGGCCAGAATAACCGCATGTGGGTGCTCTACCACGGTTCCATCTACGACCTGACCGACTACTTTTACACTCTGAGGCTCCTGCGGAACGAGAGGTCGATGCAGTTCCTCGACACGAAGCTCACCTCCATCGTCCGGAACAACCCGGGATCCGACGTTACGCAGCTCTGGGACGATGTCATCGCGAGCAGTGCGCGCAACGCCACCGAGAACAGGTCGGTCCTGAACAGCCTCAACTGCATCCAGAACACGTTCTACAAGGGCGTCACCGACTTCCGGGATTCGCCCAGGTGCACGGTGAACAATTACATCCTGCTGGCCTTCGCCATCATCCTCGTCATCGTGATCCTGGCCAAGTTCCTGGCCGCGCTGCAGTTCGGCTCCAAGAGGCGACCCGCCCCCCAGGACAAGTTTGTCATCTGTCAAGTGCCCGCCTACACCGAAGGCGAGGACTCGCTGAGGAAAGCCCTCGACTCGCTCACGGCCCTCCAGTACGATAACAAGCGGAAACTCATCTGCGTGATCTGCGACGGTATCATCGTCGGCCAGGGCAACGATCGGCCCACCCCCAAGATCGTCCTGGACATCCTGGGCGTCGATCCCAAGGTCGACCCCCCCGCCCTGCCGTTCAAGTCGGTCGGCACGGGTAGCGAGCAGCTCAACTACGGCAAGGTCTATTCGGGCCTCTACGAGTTCGAGGGCAATATCGTGCCTTATGTCGTGGTGGTCAAGGTCGGCAAGGAGTCGGAACAGAGCAAGACGAAACCCGGCAACCGAGGAAAGCGGGACTCTCAGATTCTGCTCATGAGCTTCCTCAACCGCGTTCACCACCGAGCTCCTATGAACCCGCTGGAACTGGAAATGTTCCACCAGATTAATAACATTATCGGCGTGGATCCCGAGCTGTACGAGTACCTGCTCATGGTGGACGCCGACACGTGCGTTAGGGAAGATTCGCTGAACCGACTGGTCGCCGCTTGTGCCAACGACGGCAAGATCGCCGGTATCTGCGGCGAGACTGGCCTGCAAAACGACGAGAAGACGTGGTGGACTATGATCCAAGTCTACGAATACTTCATCTCCCACCATCTGGCCAAGGCGTTCGAGTCCCTGTTCGGCAGCGTTACCTGTCTTCCAGGATGGTGCGTTGCTTCCAAGTGGTATTCCCTGACCCCCTGAACGTGCCCTGACTGACTGGCTTGGCTGTTGCTCTCTAGTTTCACAATGTATCGCCTCCGATCTGCCGACAAGCAGAAGCCTCTCATCATCTCAGACGACGTGATCCGGGAGTATTCCGTCTGCGACGTCGACACGTTGCACAAGAAGAACCTCCTGTCTCTGGGTGAAGATCGTTATCTCACGACCCTGATGACCAAACACTTCCCCTACATGTCGTACAAGTTCATTCCGGATGCCTACTGCGAGACGGCGGCCCCCGAGTCATGGAGCGTCTTGTTGTCCCAGCGTCGCCGATGGATCAACTCGACCATTCACAACCTCTTCGAGCTGATGCAGCTGAAGCAGATGTGCGGTTTCTGCTGTTTCAGCATGCGCTTCGTCGTGTTCATCGACCTCTTCGGAACGATCATCCTCCCCGCTACCTGCGCCTATATCGGCTACCTGATCTACCTCGTCGCCAGTCGCACCGGCCAGTTCCCCATCATCTCGATTGCCATGTTGGCCGCCGTGTACGGTCTCCAGGCGCTCATCTTTATCCTGAAGCGCCAGTGGCAGCACATCGGATGGATGATCATCTACATCATTGCCTTCCCGATTTACTCGTTCGTACTGCCGGTCTACTCGTTCTGGAACCAAGACAACTTCTCCTGGGGCAACACGCGTATCGTCATTGGTGAAAAGGGTAGGAAGCAGGTTGTCGCCGTCGACGACGAGGGCTTCGATCCGCGCAGCATCCCCCTGCAGCGCTGGGACGACTACGCCCTGGCCAACCACCTTCCGGGCCGTCGGGGCGGCGGCTTCCCCGAAAAGTACGACGGCGGCTTCGACGACCAATACGAGATGGATGAGATCAAGTCGGTCTATTCTTCGGTCCGTCAGGGCTCCGTCGTCATGGGCCTGCATAACCGGCCTACCACGTACATGCCGCCCCATTCCCCGGCTCCCTTCCCCGGCGGCGGTAGCCCCGGCCACCTGACGCGGCAGTCGACCATGACCAACGCGGGCCCGTTCGCGGACCCCCAGCACCTCAACCTCTCCCGCCGCCAGTCCATGCTGTCCGTGGGCCTGAACCGCCCCGGCGACCTGCAGCGCACGCAGTCCCCCTTCGCCGACGTCCCGTCGCCCCAGCTCGGCGGCGCGTCCAGCTTCCACCGCGCCAGCATGGGCAACCTCCGCGGCCAAGCCAGTAGTAATCCGTCGTCGTCCTTCCTGGGTGGCGCGAGCCGCTCTTCCACGGCGCTGGGTCTCGGCTACGCCGCCGGCGGCAGCGGCAACGCTAGCCGGGCGTCCGTGCTGGGCGCCGAGGCGTCGAGCGGCTCGTTCGATTTCCAGCGGGGTGCGGGCGCCGGGCCGGACGACGGGGTCATCGCGGAGGCGATCCAGAGCGTCCTGCGGGAGGTGGACCTGGATACCGTGACCAAGAAGCAGGTGCGGGCGCTCGTTGAGCAGAGGTTGCAGACGGAGCTGGTGGGCGAGAGGCGGACGTTTATGGACCGCCAGATTGACAATGAGCTGGCCAACATGTAGAATGAGATTTGGCAACAAAAGTCGATACAACAGAGGACATCTGTTTTTCTTGTTTTTTATTTTATTTTATTTTATTTTTTGGGGGGGGGTGTTTTGGTTTATTTACTTTCCCTTGGCATGAGGAATATACACATACATAATTTCCGGTTGATTATGTTCTTTCCCATCATATTCCATCTCATGAACAAGGATTTGTGCGCGAAAGATGAGGGATAGTTTGACTTGTCCAGAATAGGGGTTTCGTTCTCTCTCACCACTAACCCGCCGTCGTCACACCGGAAGGCTTCGGGGATATCTAGCAGCGTCGTGATATCTATATTATATAGACAGACGATCATTTACCTTGTGTTCACTTTGATGATCATGACCAGGATCGCTTCATGCGACGTATATGATAAACCCGTAATATGCCACCGAAGAAATAGCTCTGTATACTTTGCCGCCATCCGGACAAATCCCACAACTTCAGATTCTTCAACGGCATGTCTTGGTAGGGAGGCCCTCGCGAATCCCGTCAAGGTCTCTAACTTCCCTCGACTATCCAAAAGAAATGCTCCTCGTTGTTCCATGCATTCATTCGTGTATATGCGTAGCGATTCAGGACATAAGGGGGAAAGGTGGTATTACAAGGTCCTCTCACGCGGCCCCAAGCCGGTAGAAGCCATGAGAAGACCCGAATTTGTTTTTAGCGCCACTGATAATGGCGTGCGTTGGGAAACGACTGATCAGCTGGACAAAGTTGCGTCGGCGCCGACGGATCTCCTCCGGCAGCCATGGGTTCGCTTTGGTGCGGCGACGCTGTGGGCTTGTCGTGGCAAGGTCCCGCTCCCGTTGCCGTTTGCTGACCATGTACTACTACTGACAGATCCGGGGACTCCGTGGGAAGATGCCGGGGTTGATGATAGTGGCCTTGGAAATGCGACGGCGCCGCCACCGGCAGCCGCTGACGTCCCCAACCCGAATCGCTACCCAGACGACAAGAGTGCGAATGCGCATCATAATCCTCCCGGGTAGACGTTGCGGCAGAAATCGGAGGCGAAGCATGCCCAAAAGTGTAATTGCAGCTCCCGCCGTCTTGCATGAGCTCGCCGACGCCCAAACGCTGGCACTGATGTTGTTGGTTCTGCTGCTGCTGCTGCTGCTGCTGCTGTTGACTTTGGGCAAAGCCGAGCGAAGCTGACACGGCGGCTGGTAGTGCTATGGATGGTGATCTTGGTGCGGATTGGGATGGACTTTCGTCCACGCCGGGCCACCTCGGGGTCTGATTCTCGGTCCCTGGGTATGGCATGCACAAGCCCCCAGGGGGCTGGGCCTCACCCTGAGGTAGTCCGCTACTATACGCTGATAGGTTTCCATTGATACCAACCAGAGCCCATGCAAAGACCGCAACATCGCGTATGGACCGCATCAACTGGTCTAAAGGTGGTCCTCTCGCACTCTTGACCTGGTCCGGTAGCGGCATATGCGGTGGCATCGTCGGCGGAGGAGGAGGAGGAGGAGGATGAGCGTGAGCGTGAAGAGGGGGAGGCGGGTGATAGGAAATCCCATTTGGGTGATCGTACGGCTGGACTGGGCGCTGGCCCCAGGGCGCAGCGAAGAGGCCATTCTCATAGCCCGAAGTTGGGATGAGGCGAGGTTGGGATGTCGGGATAGGCGGTCGAGCTTTGCGAAGAACGACGACCAGTCCATCTGAAGTGCACGATACGACGGCTTCCAGCTCGAAAGTTGGGATTGGTTCGGATCTTCTCCTTCTCCTGTCGCCGCCGTTACGCGAGCTGGATGGGGAAGCCCTGCGACCAGCACCTGATCCCGTTGGACCGAGCGCCAAGGAATTCTGCGTTTGGATATCCGGCTCCTCCATTTTGATTGAGGAGTCGCAAGACTCAGCATCAACATCCATGAAATCGGCCGAGTCGCTCAGGCTCCCATGATGTTTCTGGTTCCTCGCAAGGCCGTCATCGCCTTCGTCTTCCTCCTCGTCGTCGTCTTCCTCGTCGTCGTCTTCCTCGTCGTCGTCATCTGCCTCAAAATCCTCTTCCCGGCGGGGATCCCTGTACCAAAAACGGAGATAGGCAATCGAGTCGTTCGCTTTGGCGCTCTCCAAGCATCGTATGGCGTCCGGGAGACAGTTTTCCTGTATACACTCGTAGAAGCTCTTGTTCTTGATCTGGTCGGGACGGACGCCGAGAATGCTGGACACGGCATTGGTGGCGAACATGACAGTCAAGGTGCGAGTAAATCTGTTCAGAATGAGGGCTGCGCGGGGCTCTCGCTCCATTGGAGGCATCCTGAACTTGGGCGACAGGTGTTCCAGCATTTGGTAGCGGGGATCGCGGGGCGAGCTCGAGAATAGCCGACGGATCTGAGGGGCTTCGATGGCACGTCCTGAACAAAGACACGGGGAACTACGTCAGCAAAGAAAGGCAAAACAGAAGTGGGAGGAATGAAGAGGGAAGATCATGATATCCACGGGGTAATAAGGGAGGAGGAGAAGAAAAAAGAAAAAAAAAACCCTACGCTGGCTTCGCTCCCCTTGGCGGTAGATGCTTGTGCAGGCAACCAGGACATCATGGACAACGGTGAAGCAGCATTCGCAGCTTATCCACCGGCCATCACGCGACCGGATACGGGCATAGTGGAGGACAGCAGCCTTGTCGAGCAAGACGCCGCGATTATGGACGGATCGAGCAAATGGAATCTCGTCGGGATGAAAGAAATCAAAGCATGACTTGTTCTGCACTTCGCGGGGTTGGTAGCCGAGGATCTCGTAAATGGATTCGGAGGCGAAGAGGATGTTGGCTTCAGCAGAGAGGTCTGGGAATCAAATCAAAGCTGCATGTTAGCCAGAGAGTCACACAGCAAAGATAAAGGTTCGCCTGAGGCTAGTTAGCTTACTGTGTATTGTCATGAATGTTTGGTCCATGGTAAAGAGAGGAGGCCTATTGTCGGGATGGCGAAATACGGGAGAGACACTCAGCTCTGCGGTGAGAGGGGTGCTGTGATATGCAGAAGGACAATGTTCGTTTAGGGTTGGCAAGCGCTTTGTTGCTTTTTTTTTTCTTCTTTTCTTTTCTTCTTTTCCTTCCTGTCGTCGTTGGACGTCAATCTGCCCAAGGCATTTCGAGGCACCCAGGCCTTGGAGACTTGCACCAAGGGAAGTGCACCGGCTCAAGATTGTAAAAGACGTTGACGTGTAAGACGGTTATATCCGCTGCTTGAAGGACAGAATATGACGAGGCCGGGAGGAGCGGGTGTATGTTTATCGGTTTAGATCCCGAATGGTGTCGTGGATACGATAATGCGGAAGGCGTTTGTCGTGGAACCCGGCCGATAGTTGATTGCTCGCGATTACGGCATGTGCAGGGAGAAAAGCCCGTCCTAGGCAAATGGTATTACTAGGCACGAAACGAGACGGCGGATTGTTTAATTCGTGGCACGAGTTCCCGGGGAACTAGGCGAAGGTCGTGTGGTCGCGGCAGGCTGCAGCAGAAGCCGAGGTTTCACCCAAGGCCCGCGGAAGACGGCAACAGGGGAGAGGACGCTGGACGGACGTGGGACGCAAATCATGGACAGCTCCCGCCGCGGGACGTTTGTGCCGGGTCTAGCGGGCGGTGGTTTGAACGTCGTGGAGGCTGGAAGGAAAACCGGAGAAACGCGAGACGAGATATTAGGAGAATGAATGATGGATGTTTCAATTAACTCATCGGTCATCGGTTGGCTGGAAGCTGGTTAAGGTCGGCATCCAATGCGGACGGAGGGTGCGATATCGCGTCGAGATGCTCAGAAGCGATAAGGCGGAGTTTGAAGATGAGAAGGTGGAAGTGGACGTGGAAGTTGAGATTGAAGTCAAAGTTGAAGCATAGGTTGAGATTGAGGCTGAGAACCAGCCGGCGAGTTGAGGTCCCGACCCTGACCCGACAGAGGAGGAGGAGGAGGAGGAGGAGGAGGAGGAGCAGGAATGTTAGATGAATATATGCAATGTCGTCCCGCAGATAATGATTATAGGAAGGGGAAGGCGCTGAACAACGGAACAATGGGCAATGGGCAATGGGCAATGGGAATGAACGAATGGCAGGGTTCAACCAGGTACGCAGTTCATGACGAATCCCAGTCGTGCGCCGGGCAGGGACTCCTGATTGGTCTTCGGAGCATCCTCCAGACTGATCGACGTGTGGCAGGGATGCGGGCCCATTGGACGTTGGACCGGATGGACAACTGCCACATTTATCCGTGCCGGGTGGTGGGCGGTGGGCGAGTAGAAGTACAGTACAAACAACGCACAGTAAGTACTACTACAGGTTCTGTTACCGCGTAGACTTGCAAATAGCCAAGTCTCTTGTTGCTTTCTTAGATTACGTGTACTTCCCCAATGGGTGTGGCCGTCAGGCGAGGCGGGAAGGCATTTTACGCGAGCCTACCTCACTTCGTGCAAAGGAGTATTTACTCCGTGCAAAGAAGCAAAAAGCATACAAATGAAGTAACTCTGTACAGGCAGGGGGCATTTGGCCCCTGCGATGACGGGGATGTCGAGGACCCGAGGACCGCATCCTTTATTCCCTACAACCTTGCTAGAAATGTTCGAGGAGTAGAATTTGTTCCCTACGTGACTTGTCATATAATTACCAAGATATCCTCTCATCTTTCCTCGTCTCCTTTTCAACACTGGTCGTATACCTAAGGTAGTTATCGTACTCGTAACGACATATTCTCACTGAAGAAGAGGAGGCCGGTGCTGACTGGCACGGACACTTATTAGCGATAATTAGTGGCTATAGGGTGTTCTGTGTCATATGCCAGAGTGGGGGGATAACTGTTCCTTACCCGTCATTTAACGCTAAACCGACAACGAGTCACTACCTAATAGTGGAACGTCCGAGCAGGGACCACAGCGTATTCGCACCTTAAGAGGATGGCAACGTTCGCTTTACCGTGTTCCGTGTTCCGTGCTCAGCGTCCGTGTTTATCGTCGTCGAACCATCGGGCATTCGGCACTTGACGTCACCCCCAAGTATTACTTGACTGTACTCTGTAAGTGTAAGGTAACTAACAGCTATCAGCGGTACTCTTATAAAAACCTAAACCTGGTCCCTTTACCTAGGTAAGGTAGGTAATTATCTTATTAAGGTACGAAATAAACTGCCTTCTGCCAAATTTCAACTCATCTTCGGTCCGTCCAACCGTGGCCGCAACTTTGTCTGTCCAATCTCTCATCTCATCCTGCATCCAATCTCCCAATCTCCTAATCTCCGATGGATTGATTTGAATACCTACGTTGTACTTTGCGGGAATCTCTGAGCACTCACTTTGTCTCCCGCTTCGGCAGGTGGCCACCAAATATGGGCCCGTTGTTTGACAGCCTGCCCATGCTTTATCAACAGATTACCCCGTCCTCTACTCCTCTAGGTAAAGTACCTACCGATACTGTCCTGTTTGTCAGATAGTTGTAAGCCCTAAACCTCCCTAGCACCTGCGTGATGTGGGAGACGATCCTCCTCGGTTTGTGATATCGTCCCTCCCCCCTTTTCAACCCTGTCTACCTGAGGTAAAGAGCGTCCATATGAGCTTTGGTTCTGTACCTACCGTTCCAGCATTCGCTGGACCTACAACGTACCTCGTAGTGTTATCCCGCATCCACTCCATCCACACTACTGCAAGGGACGTGCCGGCCCAGACGTGATGGCAGTTGTCTTGTTGTCTTGGGACAGCACTAGTCGCAGTCGTCTCCATCTCGAAAACAGGCTTTTTTTTTCTCCTTCTCCCTGATCACTGCCCACTGCATTGAGTCTAACCAAATCGACGCTCGCTTCGGCTACCTGATGTTGGAGAATTATCCCGGCGCCTCGCTCGCCGCCTATAAGCCCCTTTTGTTCGCTGTTCTTGGCCACTCGCACCCTCTAAATAATACATTCTAATAATAAGGGGAAAACAGAGGGGAAAAGAAAGAAACCCTTCCATGGCGTGCAGGTGCCAATCCCCCCCCCCCAACGAGTCAACAACCCAACTCTGGTCGATCCGCCCCATGCAACAACCCGCGCTTAGTATTGTTTCTGATATGTATCCACTGCCCGGTCTGTCCCTGCTCCGTTGTCTTAACTGTCATTCTGCCGACTCGACCCCTGAGTCGTAGACTTCGGACTTTTACCGTGCCGACCCCTCGGAGTTTATTCCGTCCAGTTCCCAGGACTGTCACTTTCACTCTCCTACTGGTAATAGCAGCTGATAGCAAGAGCCGGCATGGGATACCTATGTAAACCGATGGATCATTGTCTTTCCTATCGCCCCGTTTTGAGCAATTGATCTGCGGCGGAAGCGAAAGTATGGAGTAACGTCGGAAGGAGTAGAAGACTTGACTGATAAGAGACGCCTGACGGCGCAGCCCCTCTCCGCGAAGGGGCCGACGGGAGGACGACCTACGTCTTCAGCCTACACGGATGTCTTGGGTGACATTTCAGCACCAGGCGAAGAGAGCTGAAGAGAGGCTCGGGGAAGAGAAACCTTCACTCCGCTCCGACGAGGTCAGAAAATACTTGGCCGAAATGATCCTAGCAAATGGGAGGTCGTAGAAGGAAGGTCGTAGAGGATACGCAGCTAGTCCCCCAACAATTCACCGGACGAGGATTCCCAGGGGGAGAATGTCATTGGCGATCTTCTTTTATGTTCTCCGGTCCACTTGGGAAACCACGGGCCAAAAGCCAGAACATCCGCTTCCGTCGTGGGCACATGGCAGTCCGTCCACCCCACGTTCCCGCGGCGGCTAAACATCTCCATCGTCAGGGCAGGTGACAGTACAATTCGGCAAATGGATTGTTTGAAATTCGCAAAGGCGAAAAGAATGGCTCGACCTTAGGCTTTCCGGATGGGTAATGGCCCCCCGAGTCGAGTCGAAGCGCGCCTATGCCTATTCTTTCAGTCAAAGGTCCGAGCATCGCCGCCGTAACGCCCTTGATCGGAACATAATGCCACGTCCTTTTCGTACTGTCCCATGAATAGCCCGAGTAAAAAAACCGCGTGGTCATGCCATGCCCGAAAACAACATCCCGAGTCGTCCAATTCGCCCCTCGCGTTCGCGTACACAATGCCCTTGTGTAGCTTTCCTTTCTTATCGCAGGCGCCTCGCCTCACGCTCGGACTCGAGGAGGCAGAGAATGTCATCCTCGCGGACTAAAGAAAAGAAGAAGGGGGGAAAAAATATCAGCATTGGTCTTTTATTCTTTTATTCTTCTTGCTCTTGAAAGAGTCTCAGGCAAAAGGGGCATAGGAGGGGCCAGAGGTCGGGGGACGGCAGAAGACGTACCAGGGCCCTTGACGTTACGGATGATGGAACGGGTCTGGTCGTCCATGAACTCGACGCGAACCTGGGTGACGCCACCGCGAGAGCCTGCCTCCATGTTAGATTTCTCTTCTCTCTTGTTTCTTCGATTTTTCCTTCTTCTTCTATATCGAGAACGCCACAGCCCAAACGCCCGTCGTGAAAGAGGGATATGGGTGGTTGTATCGTACCAGTGCGGCCGAGGACGCGGGTGACCTTGACAAGCTTGACGGGAGCCTTGGAAGAATCCATTTTGACGGTATTTTTCGTTCGCGAGAAATACGCTTCGGAAACTTGCGAGGGGAGGGGTAGTGTGTCCGAGGGATGTGGTTTCGCAAGTCCTGTCGACGACTTTGTGATTGTTTCGGTTTTTTTTTTGTGGGGATTTCTGTAGTTATTCCCTTTCGCCAGTTTCGTGCGCCGAGGCTGGGAGGGAGAGCCCGCTTGGTGCTTAAAGTCACGTGATCTAGGGGATCTGGTGACCCGCTCTATTTTAGAAAGTGGCTTGTGTGGTGTCAAGCCACAATGCGGTCCACCCACTCGCACTCGGGTCGCGTTCAGGAACAATCATCAAGTACCTTCGCTCAGGATATAAGAGACATTCAGTTCATGTCTCTGAGAAGGAATTAGACGAACCATTCTGACTGATTATAACTTCTTTTACGACGGTCAAATTCTTATATGCGGACAGAAGACAGAACTTCGGACCTATTCTCTCAGGCAGATGGACCCGGGAAAGCATAATGCTTAGATTGGCCGGCCTGTCTCTAAGCAAAGGCGCTGTTGGTGTCCCAGCCTTAAAGAACGACGGCCCATATTCACGATGCCACCACCGGAGGCCATCCCCTTCGAGCTGCCCAAGTTGCGCGTAACCTTTGTTCCCGAGGTTAGATCTCAGACCTCTGACCCATCTTAGCACATTGACCGTCTTATTCTGATTACCGAAATTTGCGGCCGCAAAAAAAATCGAGATACTAATACACGAATCCCATCGCCAGGACGACACCAGATTCCTCTCCCAAGAAGATAATGTCCCTGGTATGAAACCGACGCGGGGCGGAATACGTGGCCGATTAACTAACGATGTATCGATGCAGAGTACTTTGATGTCCAGTTCTGCCCATATCAACCTCTAGATGCGGATCCTGTCTTTGCGGCCGTCAGCAAGAAACATGTGAGCGTTTACTCGAATATGATCGCGATATATATCGCGATATACCAGCCTGTCTCTTGTCTTCTTTTCTGACTTTAGGTGTCTCTCTCTTGCTGCCAGGTGGTCGTGTGCCGACTGACGAACAACACCAAAGACGACACATCTCCGCCATATTCCATTCTGCAGGTGATACGAGACGACGATGTAAGTCGGCTATTCCACTGACTGCATTTACACTTGTCTGTCCTGGACGACTCTCACTCTTTGGACAGGTCGAGGCGAGAAACTACACCTGCACCTGGTCGCAGGAAAAGGAAACGGGCAAACCGCTCCTCTGCGTGGCCGGTGAAGATGCCAAGATCAAAGTGTATGATGTTATCGAGGGCAAGCTGGTCAATGTAAGTGCTCTCTCTCTCTCACTATCCAAGGACTAATCATCCCTTACTGGTTATAGACACACGCTGACACGAACTGAATAAGGTCTTGATCGGACATGGCATGGTAAATCCTCCTTTGATACCAATGGAAACATGATCTGGAGGACACCAAGAACTAAAGCCACGCAGGACATCAACGATTTGATCACTTCTCCGATCAATCCGCTCATTATAGCCACTGCTTCCGACGACACTACCGTTCGTATCTGGAGTTTGGATCCCGTCCACGCCAAGCAGCCCTGTCTCTGCATCCTTGGAGGCGAGGGTCACCAATGGAGCTTGCTAACTATCGTGAGATGCATCCCTGAGGCGAAATTATTGACATAAAATACGAGTACACCTTGAATCATCGAGCTGACCCTCGGAATCTCAGGCATACCATGATACGGGCCGGTACATCGTGTCATCAGGCCACGATCAAGTCGTCAACTTGGTAGGTCTCTCCCCCCCCTTTATATGGTCAGACTCGGAACTGAGAAAATATGGCAGTGGACACTACCAGACCTCCCCGAGGAACCTGTGCGCCATCCTCTAGAGGTCCATTATCCTCATTTTTCTACGAACGAGGTGCACAGTGGCCTGGTCGATTGGTTCGCCCCCCCCTCTGCCCCCCCCTTTTTTTTTTCCTTTCTTTCCCGGCGTTCAAGGGGAGTTAACCGTGGGATTCCGGACTACAGCGTCGCATTCTTTGGAGACTGGATCCTATCACGAGCATGCCACGACGATATCATCGTCCTCTGGAGGATCGAGGGCTTCTCCTCAGAAGACCCGCCACCGCCACCCCACACGGCGCCCACCACCATCAACCCCACCCTGCTGACCCGGTCCGCCTTCGTCCCCAACACGGCGGAGCAATGCCCGACGCAGACGACGCAGTACACCCGCATCCTGACCTTCTTCACCCCGGGCTGCGGGCCGCAGTTCTTCATGCGGTTCAAGCTCCACCACGTGCCGGGTCAGAACCCGGTCCTCGCCTTCTGCAACGCGAACGGTAAGATCTTCTTTTGGGATTTCGCGAGGATCACGGGGTACCACGACTGGATACGCGCCATGGGCCGCGCCGCCAAGAAAAAGCAGCTTGATGGCGGCAGCAGCAGCAGTAGCAGTCTTCCCAAGAGGCCCGTCTGGCTCGCACCCATCGTCCACAGGAATCGCGGCGCGGACGGAAAGGCCAAGACGGAACCCACGGCGCGGGAGAACAAGGCGGCCGCCGATAGGGGCACGCTCACGGACGCCGAGCAGCTCCTGGAGGGCGGGCTCGCCGAGCAGTATAACAAGGAGACGCTGCAGTCGTGGGACGGCAAGTACAACACGGGGGGTCCGCACACGCCGCTGCGGGCGCATAAGGTCGAGACGATCGGGGTGATGGGTTTCGTGGGCAGGCAGGTGGCCTGGAGCCCTAGTGGCGAATGGTGCGTGATCGTGGGTAGTATCAACCTTGCGCTCGTTCTGCAACGGTGGGCTCCTTCCAAGCGCGAGGCGGCAGTCTTGGAAGGGGAGAGAGGAAGTAGGTAGTCGATGGGGCGATTTCTTTTTGTTCAAAAGAAAAAAGGGAAAAGAAAAGAAAAAAGGCCCATAAGCAACTCAGCAAAAGCCAGACGAATGAGTATATAATATCGTCCGTACTTTTTACGTCCATCGCAAATTAGAAACGAAGCCGGCGTCGCTTCTAACCGCCCGGTCTCCCATCTCGAATCGGCAACGACGAAAACGCCGGCAGAGCCACCACCTCCTCCTCCTCGCTATCCTCCTCGTCCATCCCCACAGCCGTCCGCAGAGCCGCGTCCAGCCGGCCCCCACAGTCCACCATCTTGCGGAAGAACGTCCGCGCCGCCTCCATCTCAGCGGCTCGTTGCTCCGCCTCCCTATCCAGCTGATCCGCCGACGACGAGGCCGAGGCGTGCCGGAGCGCGAACAGGTCCGCAATGTAGAGCGACACGGTGCCGCGCAGACGCAGCAGCTCGGGGCTCCGCGTAAAGGTGGTCTCCTCGAGTTTCCGGTCCATGCGCGCCGCGAGCGAGCGCATGGCGTCTATGGCGTCGCCGTAGATCTCGTCGCGGGCGCGACGGATGCGGTCTTCGGGGTCGTGGCGCCGTCGCAGGCGGAGAGCGACCCTTTCTGGGTCGAAAGGATCCGCGTAGGGGTCCACTTCTGCGTCCTCGTCCTCGTCGTCGTCGGTGTACGCGCCGGGACTGTAGCCTGGGCTTCTCTCGGGCCCCTCCTCGCGTTGGGAGACATCCCAGCCTTCGGCTTCGGTGTCCAAGTCGGCGAGGGCGATGGTTAGTCGGGCGTGACATTGGATAACCTCGTAGCTGATGAGAGCAGGGTAGAACTGAAGGGCGGACGCAGCGCGACGGGCGCCGAGGTGGTGCGGGTAACGCCGGATGAGGGTCTCGAAGTATTCTCTCACTCTGGGGACGTTTTGGAGCGGGTAGAGGTGTTGTTGGCGGCGGCGTCTTTCCTGGCTGGCGTCCTGTTCGGCGTCCACCTCTCCGTCTCGTTGTTCTTCTTCATCTTCTTCTTCCTCTTCGAGAGGCCGCTCGCGCATGAGGATTTCGGCGCCGAGCTCCCAGTAGTGGTTCCGGCGGATATCGACGGGCTTCCCCGAGATTCTGGACCGCATGAGCAGACCGAAGGCGCGTTTTGCGGCGGGGATATCGCCCCGGGATAGGAACGTCCTGATGGAACGGGCCAGGGGTCGGAGGGCGGCACGTTCAGCGGCATAAGACTTGTCATCGGGTAGTTCTGAGGCAGACGAGGAGGGAGAGATGGGGCGACTTGTTCCGCTATCTGACTCTGTTTCCGGCTCGACATCTGTTCCGGCGTCGGTTCCCGACTCTGTGTCTGTGCCTGTACGAGAAGAGTGTCGACTCTTCCTGGTCCGGCGGCGCCTCTTTGGTTTTGTGGTCAATGTTGGGTCTCGCCATGGCTGATGTGGGAACCCGGGCTGGGAAGTGGAAGGGAGGTTGTCGACTTCCGACAAGCCCGCTGTATGGAGTTGGTGGAGAGTGCTGGGAGTGTGGCTCAGAGGATTGATGGTGTCACTTGGGTGGTTATGCGGCTGGGAAGATGATAATATGGATGTGGATGTAGATGTTGACGACCTCTTGCGTTTAGAGACATTTCTCCGGTCCATCGCGATGCCCTAAGAGAGGATGCCCGTCCAGGACTCCAGGCAATGGAGGAGGATGCTTAGGCAATTCTAAAGGCCCAAGTCTTAAACCCGTCTGGGTCAGGTCTGGCTTTTCATAGATGTTATTAGAAGCGCTCTGGTTCTTTTTATGAGCTCCTTGAGACGACCATGTCGATTTATTATATGGATAACCTGGGCCAGGTAACCGAGTTGACTTGGTGATGAAGTGATGAAGTGATGAAGTGTTGAAGTGTTGAAGTGTTGAGTGAAGAAGAGACGGGAGTGGATATAGGTACAGAGGGCTGATGGTGGGGTGAACCTAAAACGCATCGAGGTGGAGCATAAAAGGAGCCGAATATTAGCCATTGGCCAATTAACATTGAAGGTTACTGATTATATAATCAGTTCTGATGACTCAGCGAAGCAGATCGCATACCCGGAAGTCCGTCCGTACTTGGTCTGTAACTTCATTCTGAACCTCCACCCGCCACCACTGAACCACGGATCCATAACTGCATTCACCATATCTCCCTGAAGACGAAAGACGATCCTCCTTGCCCTTTCTAGGGAAGTTCCGGAACGCGTGCATCTCAGAAAAGAACCCGTCGCTTAGATTCCCTACACATAATACGACACGACATCTTAAACTTGTTCACGCCCGTGGGGGCGGCACCCGTCATCACCATGGCCGAGTCGAAGAATGACAAGGCGTATAAATACCGCCAGGAAATCAGTCAGGTGCGTATGGTGTTTTTATTTCCAACTTGAAGATTGTTCTGTTTTCTACCCAAGAATTGCGGCCTCTATGGCGGTTTGTCATGCCGTCCGGGCTGTATTGTATGGTGGGCTTTAGAACGGTCTTGTCTCATTCCGCAGACTGCTCCTTCTGAATATCCAAATCCCTCGACGCCCTGCACATCGTGCAGTCTTGTTGTTGCGACAAAAGACCATGTCAGGGGGCTATCTTCTTCAGGGGCGATGCAAGACGCAAGGATGGGGCAGCAACTCTCATCGAAGCAGCCTCACAAGGGGGGGGGGGATTCTACGGTCTTTACGGGATATGGCTGTGTCTTGCCAAAGCAGCTTGAGCGATGAGCGATGATACCAAGGTCCGGGAAGAGGGCAGCCGTCTCATGCACTTCTACTCCGTCGAGTCGCCTGCCAAAAATGGGTATTCATTCACTCGTCGATGGGAAACCATCCTTCAACTACGTCACGTTACGTCTGAACCCGTTTATCACGTTCATGGAGAGACGCACCAGCAACCGGGAATCATCCATAGAACAAGAGGCAGAACGCAGCCAACTCCCGCCATATGACAGTGAAGCTTCAGGAGAGCTGTTGGCCAGACTGGACCCCGTCTGTCGGGAGAGCCCGAGCTGCTCCAGACGGCGTTTGACGAGGCTGTTCGCCTGCGCAACTAAAACTCCCGAGTGGGATCTCCCCCGAGACCTCGTTCGTCCTGCCGAAGATCCGCATGCACGATACCAACGATCGATCCGATCCGGACCTCGATTGAACTAATCCGGCTCAATAGATGATGTACGTGTCTGGCGAAACTGGAGAACCATCAGTCGAGACAACCAGCATTATCGAGGACATCGTTCGGCAGCAGGTCATCGAGCTAGTGAGTCAATACACATAAACGGACCAAAAATGAATACAAACAAATTGGCATTCGTATCCGCTGACAGACGGGACAGCTGAGAAACTGTACCGAACAAGCCACCCGCCGCGGTTCTCGATCTATCAGCATCAACGACCTCATCTTCCAAATCCGCCACGATACAGCCAAGGTGTCCCGCCTACGGACCTTCCTCTCCTGGAAGGACGTCCGGAAGAACGTGAAAGACTCGGACGACAAAGGCGCCGACGCCGACATCGGCGCAGCCGAAGACCCCGGGGGCGGCGTGGTCGCCGGCAGCGGCCCCGTAGACGACGCCGCCAAGAAGAACAAGAAATCCAAGGTCGGCCTCCCCTGGGAGCCGGCGTCCTTCTACAACCAAGAAGTGCCCGAGCGCGACGACGAGGAGGACGAGGAGGAAGAGGAGATGAACTACATCACCCTCCAGCGGCTCCGCAAGGCCGACGAGCGCACCAAGGCCATGACCCGGGAGGAATACGTCACGTGGTCCGAGTACCGCCAGGCCTCCTTCACCTACCGCAAGGGCAAGCGGTTCCGCGAGTGGGCCGGCTTCGGCATCGTGACGGACAGCAAGCCGTCCGACGACATTGTCGACATCCTCGGCTTCCTGACCTTCGAGATGGTCCAGACCCTGACCGAGACGGCCCTCAAGGTCAAGGAGCAGGAGGACCTGTTCAAGGCCCAGAGCGGCGGCGTGGGCGGCGCGGCGGACGGCGAGGCGAAGAAGCGGAAACGCCAGCAGGGGCTGTTCGACCCGCCTAGCGAGGGCAGGACGCCGGTCGAGCCGCGCCATGTGCAGGAGGCTTTTCGGCGGCTGCAGGCTCGGCCCAAGAAGATTAGGGCCATGCTTAACGATACTCACTTGCCGCACCGCACGACTCTGAATCTTGTACGTCTTTCCTTCCCTCCTTTTTTTTTCTTCCTTTTTTTTTCTTCCTTTTTTTTCTTCCTTATTTTTCTTCCTTTTTTTTTCTCTCTTTTTCCGATTTTGAAGATGAAAACTTGACTGACGGTCTTTACGTAGTTCTAATTATTGTGCCACATTATGTGTTTCTGTTTTCCTTGGTTTGCGAGCAGAAATTCGGGCCAAGGAATGCGAAAGTCTTAAGTGCTAGCTGAGGCGCACTTTCGCCTCGCTCGTTTCGGTGTTCTAGGGTTGGATAGCAAGGGATCGTCGGGTGGCCTTTCTCCCCCTTTTTCCTTTTTCTACAGGCACGGACTTTTAGGGATTCTCTTGGTTTTGGCGGGCCGTCGTCGCGAGTGGTCGTAACACAGTCTGGTGATGACAGGGGCACATGAACGGGCAAGGCGTTTGGGAGGTTTCAATTCTATGGTATTCAGTCCTCTGAATCGTGTCTTCATCAATGGCTTCTCCAGCAGGTTATGAATATTCAGGCGACAGTAATACGAATAAACATATTCGTCCGAGCTGTAGGAGAACGACAGCGTCTATTCTATGTCTTCTCCTTCCTCCTACGTAGCTTGGGACTGTCGTCCTGGCTAGGGCAATCCTGGGCCATCCCTAGGCGCTCATAACTCTCTAGTTTGGAATCTCGGAACTAGAGTCAACTAGACGATAAAACGTCCAGTGTCTCCTCCCAGCCGGCGCCTACTTTCACCCCTTGGGCCATCCTCGGGTCGTACAAAACTGTTCTACCCACCCGAAAAGGGTGTGGTGGTCGGTGGCCACCAAGAGGCATAATCAGCTCGCGAAGAGAATGGGCACGCGTAGACCCGTTACTAATGGGCCTGGCCTGTCTCGTTATCCTCTACGCGTGCCCCGGCCAATAAGACCCTCGCTTCCAGATTTACAACGATATCTAGGCGACGGCTAGTTGACATTGCTGTCTGGCGATGTTCGGTCGTTCGGCGTCCGGGGGGGGGGGGGGGGGGGGGGGGGGGGCGCAATGTGGACCTGTTTCGGCATGTGTCTGTCTAGACTCCTGCTAATATGATACTTTAACAATGCTCGGAATATGCAAAGCAAAAATCAAGAGGGAGTGGCCATTCTCGTCTTCTGCATGGCCAACTCGGAACTCTTGACCCACGTGCCTTGCGGGGTCTGGCGATAGAAGAGGAGCTTGCCGTCGTCACCGGTGCTGCCCAGGATCTGGCCGTCATCGTCAAAGTTGACGCGCCAGACGGGCGTGTGGTGGGAGTCGAGCTTAGCAACTTCCTTGACGGTATGGGCGATCTGTCCCGGCTGGCCGGACGGCTGCCTCTCCCCGCTCACGCCGCCGGACTTGGCGAGGCTGGCGCTCAGGCCCGACTGCTGGTGATGGAGGTGGTGCCTCTCTGGAGGGGTGCCCGAATGGTGGGGCGGGTGGGGCGGCTCGGGCGTGGCGGGCTGGGTGTCGCGCTTGACGATATCGGCGCTGGCCCAGGTCTTCCCGTCTTCCTCGTCGTAGGGGGTCTCGACGCGGAAGACGCGGACGCAGCCGTCCTGGCAGGCGGTAGCGACGGTGTCGTAGCCGCGGACGTTTCCGGGGGCCCAGGCGACGTCGCGGACGAGGCCGCGGTGGGGGGCGACGGAGGTGAGGTCGGCGGCCAGGTAGAATTCGCGTTGGGCCTGGGGCACGCCGTAGGGGGCGGTGATGACGTCGCGCGAGCGGTAGATCTTGACGGTGTGCATGGCGGCGACGACGAGGGCGAGCGAATCGGCGGGGGCGCCGGCGCGGAGGGCCTTGTAGCACGGGTCCGGGTTGGGATCGAAGCGGACGCGGAAGCTCAGCTCGACGCCGCGCGGCGGCTTGGGACAGACGGGGAACTCGTCGGCGAGGGTCCACTCGGAAAGCATTTCGGGTTGGTCGTTCTCGTAGATGACGAGGTGGCCATCGGTGGCCAACAGGGCGAGATGGGTATGGCGGGTCTCGTCGTTATGTTTGAGGGAGAAGGAACGAAAGGGGGCCTTGCTGGAGCGCGTCTCGAAGGCGGCCTTGCCGGGCGTGGTGGATCGGGAGCTGGGGCTGAAGCGGCGGCCGGGTGCGGCTGAGGGGTCTTCGCACCAGAGTTTGAAGCGGCCTTCTACGCCGAGGGAGGCGAGGAGGTTGGGATAGACGGTAGGTGGGAGCCATTGGAGCTGTTGGGTCAGTGCATTGGGTCAGTTTTTGTTTGGTTTCGCGAACGAGAGAAAAATGATGAAGGCTAGTCAAAAGACGCGTACCTCGAAGATTTCCCCTCCATGGGCGGTCCAGCTATCGCAGAGACGCCAGATTCCTTCCTTATGGCGGTTGAAGACGCGGATCTTACCATCAACGGCTCCAGTGGCACAACGATCGCCGTAAGCATTGAAAGCGACGGCCTGGACGAGATCTCTGTGACCGTGAGACAGGTTGAGGTCGAAGCCAGCCTTGTCGTCTGCAGTTGTAGGGGGATCCGGCGGATCAAGTTGAGCGTGCGATGTCATGTGGTCTTTGGTCTTTGGTCTCGGTCTCTGGACTCTGGACCTTGGACCTTTCTCTTTTTCCCTTGTGCCGTGATCTATAAGAAGTGACTCGTGATGGAGGTGGTGATGGATGATAGTGAGGGATAGGGACGATGTTTGGGATAAAGTAAGGTAGTAGGTACCTTAGGCAGTAGCGGGGAGAGCTACAAGGTACAAATGCAGACGGGTAGGTACCTTAGGTAATACTGTGCCACCTTACTGTGCTACCTTACTTGCTACCTTAACGGTTGCATGCACGTGATAGAGAATCTGTGTATCTGGGTACCTATTTCGACTTCACTACGGCAGCGATATCATCAATTTCTAAACCCATCATCTCAAAACACACCAGATCTTCATCATGAGGACATGGACGATAATATCCAAGATCCCCAAGTTGAAGTTGGCCTCTGGCTATGTAAGTCATCTTCCAATGTGGAAAAGAAAGAGAGAGAAAGAGAGAGAAAACCACTCTGCTCACCGTTCACCAGCACATTCCCCAAGTCGGCTTCGGCCTGTGGAAGATCCCCCCAGAGCAGACCGCCAACGCCGTCTACCACGCCATCAAAGCGGGCTACCGCCACATCGACGGGGCGTACGGCTACAAAAACACCGTCGAGGCCGGCGAGGGCATCCGCCGCGCCATCCGTGAGGGTCTCGTCTCCCGCGCCGACCTCTTCATCACCTCCAAGCTCTGGAACAACTACCACGCCCGCCGCCACGCCATCGAGATGGCCCACGTCGAAACCGACGCCTGGGGCCTCGACTACCTCGACCTCTTCCTCATACACTTCCCCATCGCGCAGCAGCACATCCCCCTCTCCGAATCCCGTTTCCCCGGCTGGTATCTCGACGCCTCCTGCACCCGCGTCACCCCTCGCACGCCCGTCCCCATCGCGGAGACGTGGGAGGCTCTCGAGTCCCTCGTCGCCCCGCCGGCGCCCGAGGAAGCCCATGCTGATATGTCTGACCCCACCACCACTGCTTCTACTTCTACTTCTACTTCTACTTCTACTTCTACCCCTACCTCCAACGCTGCATCCTCCCCCTCCCCCCCCACCACCACAAACAGCAAGGGTTTCCTCCGCTCCCTCGGCGTCTCCAACTTCGACGCCCAACTCCTCTACGACCTAACCTCCTACGCCCGCGTGCCGCCCTCGGTCCTCCAGGTCGAGCACCACCCCTACCTGGGCCAATCCAACCTCCTGCGCGCCGCCCGCGACCTCGGCGTCCAGGTAACAGCCTACTCGACCTTCGGCCCGCAGTCGTTCCTCGAGCTGGACAACCCGCGCGCCCGCCACGTCGTGCCGCTCCTCCAGGCCGAGCCCGTCGTCCAGGCCGCCGCCCGCCTGGGCCGCACCCCGGCCCAGGTCCTCCTGCGCTGGTGCACCCAGCGCGGCCTCGTCGTCATCCCCAAGTCGGTCCATCCGAACCGCATGGCGGAGAACCTGGACTGTTGCTCGTTCGACCTCGCCCCGGAGGAGATGGATGCTGTTTCCGCGTTGGATAGGGGGTTGCGCTTTAATGATCCGGGTGTGACGCACGGGTCGCCTCTGCATATCTTCTCCTGAGTAAGAAACAAAAAGAAAAGAGGAAAGAAAAGAAAAGAAAAGCAACCGAGAAAGAGAAGAAAAGAAAAAGAAAGCAAAAAGGAACAAAAAATTGAAAATGAAAATGAACTGCGGCTCTTTATGAAAGGCCACCACATCAACCCGGAGCAAACCTTTCCCGGACCAGCCAGACCGGAGCCGAAAACCACAGCGCCTCCCCATCCCGCTGGAACTCGCCTATCCCGATATATCTTCACGGGAACAAATTCCCAATCGAGGACGCAGTTCTTCATTTGCAGTATATGATATGACGAAAGGAATTTATCCGACCATCTTGACTCTCATGACCTATTCGTCAAGTCTCATGCCCTATTCGTTGATTCACTACGCTATACATGTTGACCATGGCCGGATCGAAAGGAACATGATATGGGGTAAATCCCCCCCTTTTTTCCCCTCTTTAGCAGTTTCCAGGTTGACCCGTGGGTCCGTTCCATTGCTCATTCACCACCAAAACATCAGTCGTGCCGCAAGGAGGCAGGTCGAGGTACCGGTCCACCCACTCGTACACGTAGCCCTGGTTGCAGTTCTGGCGCCGCACGTACTTGTACGCGAGCCTCTCGCCCGGCGCATCCACGTCCACCACGGCGTTCCACAGCGGGTGGCTGTCGGAGTACTCGTTCGTGGACAGGGGCTGGGCGTTGTTGATGTCCCAGTCGCCCAGGCTCGACGCGCTGCCGAAGACGTAGATGTCCTCGCCGTAGTAGGTGCGGGCCAAGACGCGGAACTCCACCGGCACGGCGCACAGGCTATCGGTGTTGTTGGGCGCGCCGGCGGCGATGGCGGGGAAGTAGGTCCCGTGCGGCGGCTCCGGGCGGGGGCAGGGGGCGGACGGGGCGGACTCGTCTGCGGGGACCCAGCTGGCGGCGTACTCGCCCGCTCGGCTCGCGGCCATGGTGATCAGCGCGGCGTACGACCAGGTCAGGTCGCGGGCGCCGACCGGCTGGAAGGGGGGGCGACGGTCGAACTGCTCGGCGAGAGCGCCGTCTTCGGGGGTGTAGCGGCGGGCGACTTCGACGAACGAGTCGGCGTAGGCGGTGACGGCGTCGACCACGAGGCTGAAGACGGAGTCGTCCGCGCGGTAGGTGCCCTCGGGTGCTCTCGAGTAGAGGTCGGCGAAGAAGGCGCGCGAGGTCGAGTCGATGGTCAGAGAGCCCTGGCGTTTCCACTGGGCGACGGCGTTGTAGAGGAACTCGGCGGCACCATAGGTGATCAGATACCAGGGGTGGCCGCCCAAGTACACGTCTTCGGTGTAGCGGCCGACGGCGACGCCCCGGTTTGGAGGGATGCCGGAGTTGATGGGGTACGCATTGCCGTCGCGGAAACCGTCCACCCACTGCTTGAAGCTTGCGAGCGCACGGGACGCGCAGGGTTGGATGGACGGACTGTCGCAAGGGGCGTTCACGTCGAAGACGACGTTGGAGCCGAGCATGGAGTTTGCGTCACGGCCCGAGCGGGCGTGGGAGTTGTGGATGTTGGAGACGAAGTACTGGCCATTCCAGAAGGCCGCGTTGAGGAAACAGGCGACCTCGGGGGCCTCGTCGCAGGCTGGTCCGCACGAGACGCCGAGGCGGTCAGCAAGTTGGGCGCCCTCGACGAGGGCACGGTACTGGGACTGAACGGTGAAGAAGCTGGCGCCGTGGACTTCCTCCCAGAGGTCGAAGCCGGTAGTGTTCCTTTTGCATCGTCAATGGATGAACTTGTAAGGAGTGGTGTGATGTATGGTGAGGTAGTACGGTACAGAAAAGAAAGACAAAAATACAAAAATAAAAAAAGAGAAAGAATAAGAAAAAAAGGACAAGGAGAGAAGCTTGTCAAACTCACCAGTACTGGCCCGTGTAGCTCAGATCATTGGCAATGACCGGCCAGATGACATCGCGTGCCTCGGCCTCGCCTTCGGGACCTTGTTCAGCGAGCCACTTGGCGAAACCGATGACGGCGATCGCACGGAGGGAAGGGCCGTCATGCTGGGGGCGACCCCAGGCGCCGTTGAAGCGTGAACCATCAACGTGATACTTGACCTCGCCGAGACCACGGCCGGAGGGGAGGAGGGTGCCAGAGGGGTTGGCGACGGTCTGAAGAATGGCCTGAGAACGGATATAGTTGCGGATGTGGCCTTCGAGGTGGGAGCGGCCGGAGGGGTCGCGGATATACTCCTCGACGATCATCTTGAAGGTCAAGGCCGCGTCGCGCGACCAGGTAAAGAAGTCTGTGGGTAAGTTAGGGGGGCGTGGTCAGCCAGTCGAGGTCTGACGACAAAAATAAAGCCACCGTGGGGAAAGGCGGGGAGCACAAACAGTCAGGGTCATTCCTGGAGGGACTGGCAACGACGAGGCCGGCTGCGGTGCCGGGGACCTGAGAGCCATCCGGGCCGATGTTGTCGAGGACAGCCTCGAGAGCAACGGGTCTCTGTTGGGTAATGTCGTCGCCGAGCTCGTCACACGCGGCACCGGCACTGATAACCAGGACCAGAGATGCGACGGCGAGGCCGAGACGACGGGAGCCTAGAACCATGGTGATGGATTGATGGACAATCCCAAAGGGGGGTGGTCAAAGGCGAGAACAGGGCTTGATCTGAGAATGTGAAGACGATCGGCCGAAACTGTGTCGCTCAACCCAGGCGGAAGATGAACTTCTTTGGCTTGCTGAGGTTGGAGTTCAGAGTGGAAAGAAAAAGTAGAGTAGGACGAGAGAGGTTTATATCTCTAGTCTTTTGTTCCCCCCCAAGACGTAGATGAAGACAAGATGCAAGGAAGACGGCGGAATCTAGAGAAGCGAAAAAACGATTATGCAGCCAAGCCCGAGCTGGCCTGTCGGTCGAGTTGCCCAAATTGAACAACACTCCCTCTGTTGAGATATTGGGAGGAATGGAGGTCGAAGCCGTTAGGTAGACGATTGTGTCGTCGTCTATGTTTGGTTTCACCGAGCCGCCTCTCTTGGCATTGCTTGTGCCAGTGCCACAGCCACATGCTCATAGAATGACGAACCTTGTACTCCGTACATCAGCTCGGCACCTCCGCATGCATTCCCACATACTAAGGGAAAAGGGGGGGGCACGCGGCAGCCGGAGTGGATGTCGTGGGGTTAGGCCGAAGGTGGCTTGAAAAGAGGTCTACGGTAGGACTGGGAAGACCGGGGTCCTTCGTCGCAACGGGGGTGGGCTGAGCGAAAAAGAATTCGGGCCTACTGGTCATCGATATTCAACCCGAACTCATGGCGTTCTCATTCACCTCGCATTTCTATGTGTCTCGTCTTGTAGTCGTCTCTCGTCCTGATGGTGAGTTGATGCCGTAGATAGTGTGTCCGTGTCAGGGGCTTGGGCTGGAGGAGGAAGGCGAAAGAACCTGCCGTTGCCCATCTCAGGTTTATGCATAAGTTCAGTAGTTTCCGTTGTTAAGCCGGTAGCACGTTTTCTCGTGGCCTGGCAGATTCGTGGCGTATTGCTCCGTCTCGTGGCTAGGTCATAGCGGAAAGAAAAGGCCTATTCGTACATCTGCGAAAGGGCTGGACGCCCGAGAGGGGCACCATGGGGAAGCATAACGTCCACTCGATTGCCTTTTCTTGCTATGATCGCCAACCGTGTCGGTGTGGTGCGGGTGGCAAGGAACAGACAAGTAATGCCGTACGGCCCGATTATAGAAGAGCAATGGTGGAGGAGAAGAGATGCAGAGAGAGGGACGGACAATGGCTTCACTCCGTACCAAAGTAGGTGGCCGCATGACGGAGTATGACGGAGTACGACGCTACCTTATGGTACATAGGTACTCTCTGGACTTCGTACTCCGTGCTTGTGATGTACTGATGTAGTGTACCGGGGATGCGGGGTACCTACCCGGGAGGGGGGGTTTCTAGGTCAGAGCTCGGACAGAGACTTTTGCTCTGACCAGAGCCAGGACAGAGAAATTTCTGTCGACATGATGTTCTAAGACTGTTGACAGATTGACCAGTTATCGGGCTCTGTCCTATACCCCCCCAACCCGGGTAGGTAGTCTAGGTATCTGAGGTACCTGGGCTCTCGGTGTCAGTTGTATCCCGGGACGGACAAGATCGCGGGGTAACAGAAAGGGGGGAAGGCCCTCTAGAGCTGAATCTCTAACGGTTTACCGTAATCTAACGGTGAAATATAAATTTCCGGAAGAGTAATGACAATTCCTTAAAAGTTACACTACTTGCTTACCTTATAATACCTAAGAGAGAACTGTGATGCGAAGTTTGGCCTGTGCGGGGTATGGGGTACTTTGTACTCTATACTTTATTTAAAGTACCCACACCTTTACCGTTGCGGGGTTAGCCGTTAAGGACCCAAAATCCAGGATTCAGGGGCTCGTCAATATCGATACTTAGCACACATTAATTTGTATTTGCATGTGAAAGGCCATTGTTTCGCTGTCCTTCTTTCCCCTTATTAACATTTATTCTTTCCTCGACATATATCCAGCAAAGATTCATTAATCAAACCATCTTTCTTTCGTCCTAGAATACCCCATACTCGGAAGGTAGGTAGGTAATGCATATACTGTTGGTGTACTATTTGTAAGTGCAGCACTCCGGACCTTCTCGACGCGGTAACACTGCCAAGTGCCTTAGGCAATGTCAAGGATTCCTTCTAATGTAGTCAGTCCAGTGATGCGGGAGACCATCAAGCTCATGAGGTGACGTTTTGTCACAATGACAGACAGGCCGCCGCGTCTGCCGGCCAGCCACTTCTTAGTCCTGTCCAGCATAGTAATCATCTCAACCTGAACCGGACGAATATCCCTATTTGGCCCTAGGTCCGTATATAACACAATGTACGCTACTTTTTTTCAAGTCTAGGCCGAAGAGACATTGTCGCCTGATTCTGAGCTTGTTGTTCGCTCTTCAGTATCTAGACGATAGCCAGGAAGTGCACCCTACCACTCGGCTAACCACCATCCGGGCAACCCTCGGACCTTCGACGGATACCTTACCAGGAACTCGGTGATTTAATAGATTCTGTGAGTACTTCACGCTCGGGAGCGGTCTCATGTCGGTCGGCGTGATGCGCGGAGTAGACGCCATGCATCGTCCCACGACGCTCCGAGGGCGTACCGGCGGGCTATACGCCGCATCGAGTAACTGCCCTTGCTTATACATACTCCCGTATTCCGCTTCAATGCAGTGACTCCCGGCCTTATTATATGCCAAGACGGCACCTCCCTATTGTTCGTGCCTTTCATCTCGGAATGGCCCACCCTCGGCCTCAGTGCGGCTCAGTCCCATGCATCGCTAAGAAGAAGCCGAACAGGGCCCGCACGTGTCAATGTGCTGGCTTCATGCGGGTCTCCGACGGTTCGACCACGATCCGACAGCACATGTCGGTGGAATAGGGAAGGGCCGGTTGACTTGGCAGGCACGGGCAGGCCATGTCAGTCAGTCTGACGGCGCATGCTTGGGGAGTCTGTGGATACCTATTGGTCGTTCCTTCGCACGCCAATATATTGACATTGTCGATCGCCAGCTACTGGACATTGTCGATATCCGAAAGTAGGGCCGAACATTGGTGAATCGTTGAGGCAATATGATGGCTCGGAGACGGAGATGGTTCCATTCTTATACCGCCACTATTCAGGGGGGCCGCCTTTACGAGACTCCGTGGCCTGGACCGACCAAAGATCTTCAGAGGACCGGCGTGGGGCAAAAGTGCCTCTTGAGTGCAAGCATTGCCGAGATGTTGGTCCAGCCAACACAACGACATGGCCATAAAAAAAGG